ACAAATGTTAACGATGACTATCAGAAAAAAAAGGTCGCAGCGTTTTGCAACTCGAGTTGAGGTCGGCAACCATCGATTGCATCGTCCGGTGTGAAAAGGCGGCTCCCCTTTGCCTCCGCATTTGTCACCAGCAGTGCATTGACCAAAGGGGCTGTTGTAAGCGAACATTTACACGTGTACCCCAAAACCCTCGCCACCACGTTCATCGCTGACACTGCCATCTATACTATCATTCTGTTACGTGCGTACGCACGTTGAACTTCTTTCGCACCGTACGTAGCCGAACGCGCTTCATCGGGTGAAGGACAACAAGAAATGGGTGTTCAATTTACGGGGCACTGTGCGCGCGATGATATGGAAAACAGCTTCTGACTCCACGCCCGTGCGATTGCCAATGCAGTCCACTATTTTTGCTTTCGTTAGGTCTACTCGCATTCCAATGGGTAAATATGTTTAAATATTCACATTTCAAACACGCACACGGCATTCCTCCACAGCATAGTAAATTAAGTTTAAAGGTGCAGCCCCCGCAACTTACTTCGCTCGCACCACCGCTGGCGGAAGGGCCTTACACCAGACGGAGCTCTGGAGAGAAATTACTTTGGCTTACTCCTCCAGCTCTGGCCAGAAGTCTTGGAAGAGGTGGCAGCACCCACACTTTACTCCACTGCAAGCGGCCTGCCGATCGACTGCGGTGGTGTCTACCTACACTGCTTTGGTGGGGAAGAGTTTTAGAAACTTTGCACCGTTGCTGCAAGTGCGGCGCCGGGAGAGAGAACTGGCGGACCTATGGATCGCAAGTCCCTTGCGAATGTATAATTCTGGTTAACATTGAGTATGTGTGCTTAGGGGGAACAGAAGCAGACGCCACCTCGGATATGATTCGACAGCCCAGCTGCCGTTCACAAAACACGTGGTGGTGGGGGTCTCATGTCCCTACCCAGTGTACGGACTGCCACGGTAAAAAGGTATTCACTCGCAATATATTTAATATTTTTCAATCGATTCCAACTTGCATGTTTTTTTTTTTAAGCAGGATGAATTGATATCACAAGTGTGAAAGCAGGTTGAATTGATATCACACGTGTGAAAGCAGGTTGAATTGATATCACAAGTGTGAAAGCGAATTCAGCCAGAATTCTTACGCCTGCTTCCCGTCTCTTTAAAATCCTGGCTGCGCCAACTGATGCCTTCAACCTCGCTCAACACAGATGCCCCCATAGAGCCTTGACAGACTTTTGTGGCAAGCGAGCACCTGTGAAGGCAGACACGGTACACGAGGGGGTGGGTGGTCAGCACCACGCCCGGCCGCCTTTGTCTTCCAAATGGCCATGATTACACACCGCACCAGGTGCTCATTTGAGGCTGAGTCGACCCAGCATGAGGCCCAGGACTGGTTCAGATAATCGTCACCGGTGTTGTCCGTGAGCGGGAATCGAACTCGGGTCGCCGGGTTCACAGCAACGCGCGCTAGCCGCTACACCACCGCTGCCCACTACGCACACACAGACTGACGGGCGAGTGCATCTTGAGATCAGGATTAAGATCAGGGCGTGCTGCTGCCCTCTGCTGGAGCGAAAATTAAAAGACCCCTTTAATCCAAATAATTTCCAAGCAGTGGCTGCACCAGAGACGACGGCGACGGTTGTATAACAACGCAGCAGTAATAATCATCATAACAACATCAATAATAATAAATTACACGCGCCCCAATTTTTTTTTTAAACCCACACACACGGAACAGTCTCTCCAGTTCAGTGATCTGACACCACCGGTAGCACTCGTGACAACACACATCAATCAGTAGCGGAGGAGACGACTTGATCTTTTTATATATTGTTTCCTTTCTCTTGATTAAACGCCGCAGCCTCTGGTTCACAGTTTTTTTTTCCCTCTAAGCGGCAGCAATCTTAAGGGCGCCCGTTAAAAATAACATCGGAGCTTTGTTCGCGTTGTGTGCGCGCGTGCGAGCGCGCGTGTGCATGCGTCCGTTCGTGGAAATGAGAGATGCAAATTTCGCCTTTGTGCTGCGCAGCGCCTCCCCAGACGCGCGTTCTCGGGTTGTGCCGCCGGTGTTACGTCGTTGGGCGACGGTGTCCGTCGTTTCAGACGCCGTGCCCAACGACACGCGGGTAAAAAAAAAAAGACCCGGACAGAAAAAAAGAACCACATTTGGCGAGCAATAGAGACCCAATTTTTAAATACCGACCGTGGGATGAAAGTGACACATGCAGATTAGCAGTTATTTGATTTCAGCGTGTTGATTTTTGTGCATGGTGTTTTACAATTGAAATGTTCAGAGAGAAGCCTCTCCTTCACCAACAACAATAAATCCGGCTGAACCTGAATACCCTAAAAAGACCTTAATCTGCAAACAATGCATTGGGGAAGGTACATGTCATGCCACTTAAGCACAACAGCTACATCCTGAACAACGTTGTAAGTAGCTATGAGAGAGATAGAGAGAAACAATATCTGCTCGATTGTCATTCATTCGCATTCATTTTTGCATCACTAGTTAATAAATAAAAAATGGCGACACTTAGAACAAAGCTATATTTAAGATGACACCAAAGCTGTCACATTAGTAGCATCTGTAACGTAACGTTATTGCTTTTTAAAAGCAAAAAAACCAAAAGCCTAATCAACATCTAATTGGATTCTGTGGCTCTTCCTTTTTTTTTCGTAAAGTAGCATCAAGTGACTTGATGCGTGTGTTCGCTGCCACATTCGGGTTATTTAACCGCAGGTGAGTGGGACGGTGTCTAAATTAAGCGACGAGTAAGTGATGGCGATACAAAAAAAATGCAATGATGTAACTGGGAGTGACTGGTCGCCCATTATGAACGTTTTTCATTCAACTGAAACGGGTGGTGTTTTCGTTTTTGAGATCGCACAACGCCGAAAACCGTTGCATCGACGCGGACAGCAGTGGAGGTTTTACGCATTCCTGGGCATACACAAATAGAAAAGGAAGCTGAATTTATTTTAAGAACATATTACACGGATCAGATTTATAAATGTGAAGCAAGGTTAAGAACAGCCCCCACCACGAACCAAAGCCCAAGAGTGACATTAGTAATAAATAAACACCAAAAGATAAGCCCTTAAGCCGTTTTTGTCTTTTTCTTTCTAATAAAATAAATCAGTTTATTGAAAAGAAAGTGGGGAATTCAAATAATAAAGACCTCAACCGGGCAATCTATTTACATATTACATGCATTTTTTTGCAATGTATGTTTAAACTGCAACAGCCTGCTTTGAAATGTAAAAGAAAAAATATATTTCTCCTCAAAGATAATTTGAATGCGTTTTCATCCTAATAAGCCTGCAGAATTGTTTTGTTAAGCAAACCAAAGCTACACTGCGTATATAACCGTGTGCTACTTATATTCGCTAAAGGGTTTTTTTTTCTAATTCGGTCAGATAATCCATGAGAATGCCACGTGCACTGCACACCGCCAATTTCGTGTTGGCGATAAAGTGCGGGGGTGGGGGGGGGGGGTGGACACCCCATCGGACAATCAAGATTTGTTTTAAAGCTGTCAAATATCCCCCATTAGATTATTGCCACGATCATCCGAACGTTTGGGGAAGCCTGCGGTGTGAAGGTGGTGCTGCCAAACAACTCGGGCGGCGTCGTGACAAAAGGCCTTGCAGAAGGCGACTTCTGCAGAGCGTGTTCATCGGCCGTCGAACGTACGGAACCCACCCCCCAACACCTCCCACGACGTTAAAATCCGCGCCCGGTGCATGCCGATTGAATCGACATCGTTTTGACGTTGGCGCGTGCCGCCTACGGAACAACCGTGCGTTGCGTCTTCTCAGATTTAAGTAGAAAATAATAAACCCACTTGGGTGTACGGTGACGAAGGGCACGGCACATGTCCAGTGCACGTCTTGAAAAAGCACGAGGCAGCACAATCTCGGCGGATGACCATCGCTTTCGTATTGGCGAATATTATAGATGGTGAGGGTAAGTGTTGAATCGGCGCGCGTAGTAGCAGTATTAATGCCATTCTTATCGTGCGCGACTATTTTAAAAGGTGCCGTTTAACATGCAGGCATAATCTGCCAGTAGGAGGCGATGTTGCGGCTACGTGGTTTTACTCAATTAGGTGAATTTTGCCAGGTTTTAGCACAATTTTGCCAGATTTTGGCAAGATTTTCGCAAAATTTGAACCATGACACCCGGCACACACGTGGGCCTGCTCTATTTTTTTATTCGAATGACGTCCCGCTGCCAAGGGGGTACGGCACTTAGGATTTTCCTCGAATGCGCCCGGCAGTTTATAACCAGGGCAGGCACCAGATTCGAATCTGGAAGCTTCAGTCAACAATGAGGTAAAACCGCCAGCCACCACCTCCAGGCCACGTCGTTACCCCCTGCATTGTCTTTTGTTAAGGTGTTGGCAGCCTAGCAGTGAATCGTCGAGTGACCGGGAATTTGCTCGCGTGCCCACGGCTATGGAGTTTCGCCTCCCTCTGGACGTTCTCTCCTCTGACTCTCCCCCGCCCTCCCCCCTCTCGTTTTAATTCAAATCGCGCCTCAGGACGCAGCTTATTTTTCAAGGGGCTTTTTCTCTTTCTGGAATCCTTTGTGTTTGGGCTTGGACCTGACTGGTGTGAGTCTGCATGTGTGTGTCTTTGTGGGGGGCGGTGGTGTAGCGGTTAGCACGCTGCGCTACGAACCCAGCGACCCGGGTTCGATTTCCGCTCATGGCCAACACCGGTCATGATTATTTGAACCGGTCCGAGGCCTCCCCTAGGTCGACTCAGCCTGAAATGAGTACCTGATGCGGTGTGTAAACATCGCCACTGGAGAGACAAAGGCGGCCGGGCGTGGTGCTGGCCACCCACCCCCTCGTGTGCTGTAACAGCCTTCATAAGTGCTCGCTAACAGCACTTGCCCCAACAGTATGTTCAGGCTATACGGGGGATCTTCGTCTTTGTGCCTCTGTTGAACAGCACCTTGTGATATCAGGGTTGCGTTATCAGTGTAAATCATTGTGAAATTATTATGATGATTATTAATTTGCTGGTTACCAATCGCCGAGATTGAAACAGTTTCTTGCATTCGTGTCGTTCGTTTCGCAAGATACGTGCGGCTACACAACGGTTGACCTTTCGGGGGTGCGGGGAGTCTGGGAACAAAACATATTTGTCCTGTAATGCGAGTTGTGGCTGAATGCAAGGCGGTGGGGTTCATGTTTTCAATGGATCGTGCCCAGAGACTGCGGGCAGTCATGGTCAGGTGATGACCGATCATCGACGCTACCAAGCGAAAGTCACGAACGAAGGGAGGCGTTGCGCTGTCTCACCATTTGTCATTTGCGTGCGTGGAACAACTTCCACGCATACAGCCAGGCGGCAATTCGAGAGCCGTCACGGAAGTAGCTTGTGCCCACTGCGGTGATGTGTTATCAAATATAAATATTCAATAATACTCCCAATTCATGTCAGCAGTGTACAACATGCATTACGGTATGTGGCAGGTATATGCGATCAGTTATACGTTAAGATTATGGTTGGGTTATTTATTAACAAAGAGGCTAAAAGTTACCCTCTGCTGAAGTACATCGTGTTACACGTCCGTTCGGTGGCGACTACAATAAGCTTAATGAGTTCATTATAAAGTCATTTCACCCACGTGTTAGACACATACGTCGGAGTGTTTCCCAACATTTGCTCGAAAGTGCAGTCATGAAAAGAAAAAGCCCTGATCTCTTTTTTACTTCAGACAACCAAAAAAAATAATTCCCCTCCCCGGTAAGGCGTCTCGCAAAAATGGCTCGTGCCCGCTTGTTTCCTTCAAACGCCACTCTGCATTCAATGGTTAAATCTTTAGGTTTTTTTGTCCGATGCAACAGTTTCACACCGTCTTCACAGAGTTCCAATGAGCGGGCCTTTCGCTCCAATCTCAAGTCTCTACAATGAGGCTAAACTCTTGAGGGTTAACTTATTCCTTACTAAAATTGCAGGCAAGCCATTACGATGTAGTGCAAAAAATGCTCCTCTGTTCAAAGTCTTTTCGTTAATTTCAGTCTTTTGTTTTTATTTTCATTTCAGAGCTCGCACATGCGAGATTGGCTGAACGTTGACATGGAGACCTTTGGGACAGAGGCCCCCCTCAGAAGAGGCCTTTTTTTCTTGTCTGGACTGCCAGTCCCCACGTCCTGACCCCAAACCGCCGAGCGTGCCTTGTCGCGTCAGGCCGCCCCATTCCTGTGCAGTCGCTGAACGTACCGCAGCAAGCGTAGACCATCGTGTGTAATGCATGTTTAACTTCTTTCGCACCGTACGTAGCCAATCGTGCCAATCGTCTGCACGAGTCAAAACCAGTGAAACCAGCACGTTCCCTTTTTGGCTCATCGAGCAAACTGAATCATTCATCGATGAGACTCTCCAACGACACTGGCCCTCCGGCGGCCTCTCCATTGGCCGGTTTTGATCACGTGACGTGCCGACGAGCGATCCACACGGCTGACATGCAGGTAGGCAGGCACGCTGGAATGAGCGACATGGCCGGGCCGCAGCGAGCCTGGCGCAGGTGAGGCTGGAGCCGGGGGGAGCGAGGGGAGAGGTCCGCGGTGAACGAAACGGCGCGAAGGAACGCCGCGCCGCAGTCATCGTCTCTCGCTGTGGTGCGATTTTGTTTTCGCAAACAAAACAAAAATATATTTCTTTTTTTTTTTTGCTCCGGTTTTTCTTGAACCCGACATTAACAGGCAGCTAACAGCATCGCTGTACTTCATGAAACGTAACAAAATACTTTTTAAAAAATCGTTTGGTGTCTTTCGTCGATGTTGTTGTAGCCGTAGCAGTAGTAGTAGTTTTCGAAGCGCGACATTTTTTTTATTTCTGCGCTTTCTTGTTAAGGCAACCCGTTTTGAGGCCCAAAGTTGGCCGTTCGCACTTTCTCAGTCTCCCTGCACGCGGCTGGCGTACGTAAGCGCACGCTTGCGTGACGTCCCCCAACGACGCAGACGGCGGTGCGCCACGCGCGTCGAACCTGGAAACCCGCCGCTACCGTCCCCCACTCACAGCGCCGTCCTTGCATCGTCCCTGCCACGCCCGCGCTGCCCTCTGCCGCGAGGGAAAAGGCCCTACGCGGCAACGAGCGGGCTCTTTTCTCGCCATTCCCGCTCTTCTTCCGTCATCGTTCCTTTCCGATTCGTGTATTTGTTTCCTTTTTAACGTCTCTCTCTCTCTCGCTCTCTCTCAGTTGTCGATCTCGACGGGAATGGTGTCATCGTTGGGGAGGGACTGCGACTGGATCCACACCGAGGTGTCCTCACCTCGGACCAACTTCTCCCACTGGGCCAGGTTCTCCCTGCCCACACCGGAGGACACAGCGAAGAGACACACGAGGTCGGATGTAGGGGGTCGACGCTGTGCCGAGTGCAAGGCCACACGTTCGCCAAAAGGTCACCCCCCGATCGTTCAACCACGGTCACGAAGAATCTCAATAGTCCGAAATGCTGACCTGTCTAAATCTCAGCCGGCTCAGCTCTGATCGCTCCCCCCCCCCCAGCACGAGCGACACAGAGAAGTGGAGTGCACAGGGGCACAGTGTGCTGGGTACTAGGCCACACAATTTCCCAGAGCCACGAATAACATCCAATCCTCGTCATCATGACCCTCTATTTCACAGCCCTTGATCATCCTAAATATCAGATAAACTGATCCATCACAGAAAGCAATGAGTGGCTCCGATTTCATTAAGATGTTATGATTGCTTTGCATGGTTCCCTTTGGATGTGATGCAATTGGTCCTCCATCAACGCTCCAGGGCTTTAATCCCTAAAGCTTTGACGAGTTTATCATTACAAATCTTGGCCGTCCCACCATTGCTTATTCTAAAGTGCAGTGGCGAAGGGTCAGAAGCATGGGCCCTGGCGCAAATAATTAAATAAACTAAACTTAACTAAAACCATTTAATTTTGCCAGGTAAGGTGCACTGAGCTACACAGCTCTTTGTCAGAAGCGACCTGGCCACAAACAATGGCTCAACGAAGTGGCTTATCGCGTGGAAATGTACAGCAGCCAAATACTCTAAAAAGCACGTTTGTAAACGTGGAGGGAAAAAAACCGGAGGATCCGGAGAAAAATCCACGAGACCACGGGGCCTAGAGACACGCAAATTCCAAATACATACCAGGCGTCAGGGTTGGAATCGAACCCACGCCCTCCTGTGTACTAGGCGAAGTAGTTCACATCTCGCCACCGTGGCGTCCTAAATAGAGAGCTCCCCGTTCATTTCCACCCCAACTTCGTAGCCCAGTGCCTGGACCCCTCTAGCACGTGGGCCCCCATACAGCTGCACTGGCTGCATGCTCGACAGCTGCGCATGCTGGCTGCGCCCGTCAGCGAGGGCCGCACAGACCGAAGGCCTCACCTGACTCCCTGCAGGAGGGGGTTGGCTGTGGGGAGAATCTCAACCAGGGTGGTGTAGCACGGGATGGCCACCGCGTTATAGAAGCCCACCTGCACCGCCACGGAAGGCACGCGCCGCAACGTCACATCAGCCGCGCTCAAGAAAGGCACGAACGGTCACAATCAGGCACGAGTGAGCGCGTTATTGACATCATATAGGAGGGAGGCGTGTTGTTGTTTTAGGCTGCGCGGTGTTGTGTGTAATATTATTTTTTGATTCAAAGCTTTCGTGACTGCAGTAATTAATATTCTTAGCTCTTTCGGTAAAGTCACGTTGAAGGGAAACAATAAAATAATAAAATATATTTTATTCTTTTTTAATAACGTGACTTTACCGAAAGAGCTAAGAATATGTAATAGTATTATTGTTGTTTCTTATTATTATTATTAACCCCCAAAAGCCTTACGGATTCTCAAGTCCCTTTTCAGGAGGATCCTGCCCAGTTTTCGTAGCCAGGAGGCAATGCTGCTGCTGTCGCCACCGTGTGCAATCCCAATTGAGCAATTCGCAGGTAATTTTTCAGCATTTGGGATGTTTACGGTCGAGACCAGTTACACTGTTTCGTACTTTAGCTGTGGGAAGAACCCGGAAGAAGGAAACCCACGCCAGAAAACGGGAACTCACAAATTCGAAAAGCCCCACAGCCCTTCTTGCCATGCCGCCACCCTAACGACAATGGCCTTGCACGAAACCCACGCCATCGAACGTGGCCTTAAATCCTCTCCAGTAGAAGGGTATGGTCCACCACCTCTCCTGGCCCACCTCTACCTGGCCCCCCTCTACTGGCCCACCTTTACCTGGCCCACCTCTCCTGGCCCACCTCTACCACCTGGCCCACCTCTCCTGGCCCACCTCTACCTAGCCCACCTCTACCACCTGGCCCACCTCTACCACCTGGCCCACCTCTCCTGGCCCACCTATCATGGCCCACCTCTACCTGGCCCAACTCTACCTGGCCCACCTCTACCACCTGGCCCACCTCTACCACCTGGCCCACCTCTACCTGGCCCACCTCTACCACCGGGCCCACCTCTACCACCTGGCCCACCTCTACTTGGCCCACCTCTCCTGGCCCACCTCTACCTGGCCCACCTCTACCTGGCCCACCTCCACCTGACCCACCTCTACCTGGCCCACCTCTACCTGGCCCACCTCTCCTGGCCCACCTCTACCTGGCCCACCTCTACCTGGCCCACCTCTCCTGGCCCACCTCTCATGGCCCACCTCTACCTGGCCCACCTCTCCTGGCCCACCTCTACCTGGCCCACCTCTACCTGGCCCACCTCTACCACCTGGCCCACCTCTCCTGGCCCACCTAACATGGCCCACCTCTACCTGCCCCACCTCTACCCCCTGGCCCACCTCTACCACCTGGCCCACCTCTCCTGGCCCACCTCTACCTGGCCCACCTCTACCTCGACCACCTCTACCACCTGGCCCACCTCTACCACCTGGCCCACCTCTACCTGGCCCACCTCTCATGGCCCACCTCTACCACCTGGCCCACCTCTACCTGGCCCACCTCTACCGCCTGGCCCACCTCTACCGCCTGGCCCACCTCTACCTGGCCCACCTCTCATGGCCAATCTCTACCTAGCCAATCTCTCATGGCCCACCTCTACCTGGCCCACCTCTTCTGGCCCACCTCCCCCCCCCCTCCCCCCCGCTGTCTCTAGCCAGTATCACTGCCTCCATCAGTCTCAATACATTTTCTTCTCCTGGATCTCTTACCTCTGCATCTATTCACCTGATTGTCCATCTCCCACTGCCCCTGGTCCCCTTCCACTGTACGTCCAATCTCCTGCCCGGCCTCACTCTCGCAACGTGCGACCACCGTGGTGGTGAGGAGATGCTAACAACCTCGCCTCGTATACAGAAGGTGGTGGGTTCAATCCCGCCCCTGGCGCCTGCTATATATTTGGAGTTTGCATGTCTCTCTCTCCATAGTCGTGTGGATTTTACTACGGGTCCTTCGTAATTTTTTTAGAATGAACGTCCGTTTTGAGTACGGTATGTGCCTGCAATAAATGTCCACGTGATGATGAGCCACTTCGTTGACCGATCATTCGTAACCAGGTCGCTTCGGGAAAAAAGAGCTACATAGCTCAGTGGGGCCTTACCTAGTCAAATATAAAGTTGTATAAATACTTTAGCCGTTAATTAAATCTACCAACTTTATAGGGGGCTCAACTGGGACACATCATAAGCAGGCAGCCCCCCCCCTCCGTGACCCCCCAGCCATAATTGTACATAGCCACGGCCATATCGCCGACACGACGTTCTAATGACGTGGTTCAATACGGGCTATTATTTGCGGGGTAAGTGCGAGAGGTTCGTCTGCGGGGGTCAGAATCAAGCCGATCGCAAAGAAGGCTCTGGGGACTTTAATCTACAACAGTGAGCCAATGGACAATTGGAATGCAAGTCAATTAACTGAGTGGATGAACGAATTGCTGAACAAGTTGGCCCTCACCTGGCCCTGAGGGATTTCGTCCTTCTTGTCTCGGTCCATCATGGCTATCGGCTGGATTCCATTTTTCTTCATCTCGTCTCCCTTCGGAAAATAAGGAACAGACACAAAGGGCTCAGTAAAGGCTCCAGATCACACGAGTCTGCAATGGTCCTCGGTCTCAAAATTAAAAAAAACACCCCTCCATATGGCCTATTAACAGACTGTTGGGGCATGTGCCGTTAGCGAGCACCTATGAAGGCGGGCACGACACACGAGCGGTTGGGTGGCCAGGACCACGCCCAGCCACCTTTGTCTCCCGAATGGCAACATTTACACATTGCACGGGGTACTCATTTGAGGTTGAGTCGACCTTGGAGAGGCAAAAGGACCGGTTCAGATAATATAATCGTCACCGTTGTTGGCCGCGAGCAGGAATCGAACTCGGGCCGCCGGGTTACCGTAGCGCGGCGCACAAACCGCTACTCCACCGCATCTCAGAACACACACACACACTCACACATTGTAATGGGTGGGCGGCCAATAGGTTAACTCGGGGGGGCGGGGGGGGGGGGGACAGGCTATAGACGGCACGAATACCTTTCAGTTTCGGGTTGGAAAGTGTTCATTTAAAAAAGAGCATCGCGAGCAATCAGGGGGAGGTGCAATGGGAGCTAGCGGCAGCAGGACACACGCTCCGGTGCCAACTGACCTCCGCCCAGAACTCCGCGTAGATGTCGTTGGCGGTGGCTCTGGTCACCGGCCACAGCTTGGTCACGGAGCAGAGGTCACACGCCGTCATCATGAGACCAATCAAACGGTCCCTGAGCACACACAGACAAAGATCCCCAGTAACGCTTTAACAGACTGTTGAGGTAAGTGCCCCTGGGGACACCCCCCACCCCCCTCCCCCCCAACCCCACCAGGTAATCGCTCGTCACCACCAGCATCAGCAGGAGAGGTGGCACGGTTCTCACCGATGGGCCTGGTTCTTGATCTGCAGCTGCTCTCCCTGCAGGATCTCCTCCAGCTGCTTGCGATTGCCAAAGTATAGCGCGAGGTCCGTGGCAATGATGGCCTTGCGAATTATCTCCAGCACCTCCTCGTACTCGGCCGAGTCCAGGTTCTCAAAGACGCTGTGCCCCTCCAGCTGGGGAGAGACGCGACAGACGCAGAGGCAGAGGAACGTTCGGCGCGTCAACTCGCACGCGGCCGGGCACGCAAATAGAAAGGCAGCCGATGACCACATTACAAAAGGTTCATTCCTCCTCCTCCTTACGAGCCACAAGCCACCAACCTGCAGGATGGAGAGCGTCTGGGCAAAGTGGTGCTGCTCCATGGTGGATGTGGAGTACAGCGCGGAGAGGGGCGTCTCAAACTTCTGGAAGTAGGTGTTCGTGTAGCCCCGGTGGTCCAGGTCGTGACACAGGCACGCCACCATCAAGCCCTTGCACTGTTGGGAGGAGAGTATTCATCACCGCTTGCTTTGCTACGATCGGATGCGGAGTTTGCGTCTTTATATATTGTTTTTTCCTTCTGCGTTTTCCAGAGACGTTGGTGTTCAATGCTAGGCCGAGATATTCTTAATAGGACAATATATAATTGGGCAACATTTCTGGCAACGGACCTTCAAAGTGCTGTGAAGAAGGGCCATTGCTCGATACGTCGCCTTTCTATTATATATTTTCCTTTTAAGGCCGCAGTGTTATTGCCGGACGTGTCGAGTGTCTTTGTTCGTGTGTGCTTTGGCACCTCCGCCATGGCAGGGGCGTGCTACAAGGATTGGGGAATGGATGACAGTGATAGAGGGGCACTTGGGGATCACGAAGGGGCAGGGGAGGGACGGGAAGGAGTGGAGGGGCGAGGGCAGGGAAGAGAATGGGCGATGGAGAAGAGGTTGAGGCTTTAAGAGAGGACAACTTAACGACTGACTGCGACTGATTATGATGGGTGACTGTGAATAGATGAAGCTAAGGCTTGCGACGCCCATGGCTCATTGTACTCATTTATGTGCTAAAATATTCAACAATCTGGCTCAGCCTTCAGCAGCGGCGGGCATTCAGCCCTCCCCCACCAGCCCTCCTCACCTCAATCTCGGAGAAGATGCCCGGGTTGCGCTGGAGCAGCACGTACATGCAGTGCGCCACCGTCACCGCGTGCTTCCAGTTGTGGTACGGCACGCGGCGGTAGTTCTTCCGCACAGACATGGTGAACCGGCACAGCTTCTCCAGCTCGAAGCTGCTCACCGGCACAAAGACAAAGATTCCCCGCACATATAGGTGACATTTACCCATCGTTAGTGCCATGATGAGGGCGATGATGATGATGATAATTATGATGATGATAATAATAACGATGACAATTATGAAAGCTCTTTCAGTAACAGTACATTTGAGTACTATTGCCCTTGGTATGATAATAAGAATGATGATGTTGATGACAATAATGAACATTCTCTATCAGTAACAGCAACTTTTAATGGTGATGATGATGACGATAATGACGATGAAACTCTTTTTTCAACTGTGTGTGTTGAACTTCTTTCGCACCGTACATAGCCAACCGTGCCAATTGTAGGTGCGGGGGAAGGACAACAAACTTAACACAAAAATCGAGATTACATAAAAGTGAAGTGCCAAATATTATCTGTGTTATTGACGACAACGATGATGATCACGATGGCGATGAGGACGATGATGCTTACGCCAAAATGGCAAATATGACCGATGAAGAGCGCAGGACAGAATTTGAATATTTATTTATACCGGAGGAATCAGATGAGCTATAAAGCTCTTTTCCACAGATGTCCGGTCGGGGCGGGTCAGAGCGTTACAACAACAAACAACACAATAGGAGTGCGAAGTAGAGGAAAGGCAAATCAAATAACTTTTTTTTTTAAATACCCGAATAAAACTAAAACTCTTATTATTTAACCAGGTAAATACCCCCCACTGAGCTATTAGCTTCTTATACAGAAGCGAGCTGGCGGCCACAAATGGATAGCTCAACGAGGGTGGCTTATCATCACGTGGAAATGTACGGCAGCCACAGACCCCGGAGCGTGGAGGGCCATCGATCCCAGGTGACTGAATAACAAATGCTGCTGTGGCCCCTCTCTGTGCATTCACCTCCACCCACCACCGCTCCTCCCCCTTCCCGGCTGCGAAATTCTATTCCTGGCCACGCGCAGCACGGGCAGCAAATTCTGCTACTCTCTGCTGAATAGAACACGGTGGGGGTGGGGGGGGGGTGGAGAGCCCAGTGTGTTCTGGGAGAGTTCTTGCCGATAACACCAGGTGAAGAAAGCGACTATATTTTTTGGGAGGGGGGGTGGAAGGTGGGGGGGGGGGGGTTTATCACAAATGCGGAGCCACCAGCCTGAAAGCTCAAAGCAGTTGACAACGAGGAGCAGCACGGGAATAGCCACGGCGGATAGGAAAATATCCATATTTCTTGAATTGAACTTGGGAATTGGGCCACGCCCTGCAGGATATGAGAGTCCGGCCCCTGGTTTTTGCCACGTTTAGGCAAACAGTTTAGCATTTGCCCAGAAGGCAAAGAAACTGAAGCCTTCAATCATAAATTGCTTACTTCCCTACAATCGCGGGTCAACAGTTTACGGCCAAGTTGACCTAGGGAGTGACCTCACGGCAACTTTGGATCGTGTTTTGCTCCTAGTGTTGAAAAGAATGCGGCATGATGTACAAACCGTGGTGACATCACTCCCTCAGCCAAAACACAGACACAAAAGACAAAGATACCCCATGTAACCTACACAGGTTGTTGGGGCAAGTCCTGTTAGATATAGCACATAGGAAGGCAGGCATGGCACACGAGGGGGTGCTGCGACCAGAACTACGCCCGGCCGCCTTTGTCTCCCTTGTCGCGATGTTTGCACTTCCACTCCCCATTAATCACACACACACGAATATACACAACAGCCGCTATTTGCCACGAAGTAGCGGTGACGTCACCACGGTGCATGTGCCAGGCTATGTGCATTTTCAGGCCACGTGAAGTGTCAAAGGCTCGATGGCAGGAGGTCATGGCACAGACCCAGGTGCCATGGGTTGGCTGACGGTGATGACTGTCAGATGCACTACCAGTGCCCCCTACTGTGCCAAATATCAAACTGATACACACAGTTGCACACAGTGTCCCTGTACGAGCGCGATTACTTCCTCAGTGAGCGCGAGGACACATTTCATTTCCTTCATCCCCAGACGTCAGCCGAATAAGTAATCCCACGACGTTCAATTAAGCCGATCGCATCATTGCATAAGCCCAGCCGGCAGATTAATTCCCCGTCTTGACGTCACAAATATGACGTGGACATTCGCCGATGGGGTTTTGTGTTCCACGCTATAATGACAGTCGTCAAACACCGGGGACGCTAGAGGGCGGAAACGGAGCTCCTCCAAAGGGGATAAAGACTTCACCCGGCTCCATGAGTAGATTAACACTGTGGTGTTATATTATTATTACTACTACGACGACGATTCTGCGCAACTCCCTGGTCGATTCAGAATCAGAGTATTAATATACACTGGGGGAATCCGTTGAGCTATAAAGCTCTTTTTGCACAGGTGAATGCGGCATTAAGCACCACCGACACATGCCCCGTGACTCTCACGCAACCACCTCCCACATATCTCCTTTTGCTGTGGTCATTTCATACGCAACTTTACCACGCCACACACCACCTGTCGATAGAATAACGGTGGGGCAAGAGGCGGTGTAGTGTGGACCGGTGTAGTGTGGGGCGGTGTAGCACGGTGCGGTGTCGTATGTTGCACATACGTATGTTGCACATACGTATGTTGAACTTATTTAGAGCAGTACGTAGCAAACCATGCTAATCGGAGGTGCGGGGGAAGGGTAAGAAACTGCTGTGCTTATTATACACCACACAACTAAAACATACGACTAAGCCAAACCGTGCTCTACCAGAGTCGGCTGATCGGCAGGTTTCGTGGTCGGGTAGTAAGTGTGGGTACTCCAACCTTTGCTAAGTCGTCTGGACATTGTGGAAGAGTAGGCCAAAACACCCTCTCTAGGCCAAAATACCCTCTCTATAGTTCGGTCCGGCGGAGGCTCCTCCATGAACGGTGACGTGCGCGAGCAATTGCAGGGCTGCACCTTTGCCTATACCCATTTCTGTACGGCGAAGCGATACCACGGAGGGCAGGCAATTAAGAGCCGTTGGAAGAGCGCACACCGAGACGTGGCTGAAGTGTCATGGAATGGAAACGTTGAATGAAAAATTGGCGTTCGAAACCGCGGGCATGATTAATTAACGGAACGAGCAAATAAACGCGAGTGCGTGTCCTCGCGTAGAGACCGGGGAGACCGCAGCAAGGGCACGGTGATGGTCACACCAGCCCGTCGTGCGACACTTGTGCCCTTCACGGGCGCCCGCTAAGGGCGCTCGACCCGACAGAGGCCTCTTCGGCAACGGCGGGGATCCGCGTCGCCGACGTTTAATTAAAAAAAAAAGTTTTTAAAAAAAGCATCCGAAGTAACAGTGAGGTGCACCACCGTAGCGCTCCAGTAACATCACCGCGGGTGAAGTTTTATTCAAATCTTCAACAGCGAGGCGATAATTGCATCACGTATAGTGCGGCTGGCCAAGCGTTAAAGGATTTATTTCATTTTGCTGAAGCTTCAAACGTCTGTCTGACAGCGCTGGGAACGCAGCTGTTTCAATGGTGGGCCACGTGAGGACCGGTCCACTCCGTTGTCAATCGTCACCATCTACGTTTGGCGGCTCGTGTGGTGACCTCCGGATCGTTCTGCACACTCGGGACAGCGAGAGTCGGACCTCGCAGCTTTGCAGTCAGCGGTCCACCGGGCTGGAACTCACCTACCCACTCACTCACCCACTCACTCACCTACTCACCCACTCACTCACCTACTCGCCCCCACCCACTCACCCACTCACTCACCTACTCACCCCCACCCACTCACCCACCCACTCACCCACCCACTCACCTACTCAGCGGTCCATCAGCTTGGAACTCACCTACCCACTCACTCACCTACTCACCCCCACCCACTCACCCACCCACTCACCTACTCAGCGGTCCATCAGCTTGGAACTCACCTACCCACTCACTCATCTACACACCCCCACCCACTCACCCACCCACTCACCTACTCAGCGGTCCATTGGCCTGGAACTCACTACCACTGCACGATGTTCGACACTCTACACAGGCAATTAACTAGCAAATTAAACATTTGAAGACAAAACTGTATCAATATCGCACACTCGTGATAACCTAGGTTATAAGAGTTGTGCATTTATAAATCTACTTTCGGCAAAAGCAAATTAATGGAACGTTGACGGCCCCAAGAAACTCAAGGACCCTGGATTCATACAAATATCAGCGTGCAAAATTCACATCATAAATAATCAAAACAGGACAATTAACATAACACGTCAATATAATCTATCTCATTTACTTGTTTTTCGTCTACATTTCTCTCATCGCGCCACATCCGCATCTCTTCTCACGAGGATTTTACGAACGTGGTTTAAGCTTCGGCCTGCCGATTGGGCTAGCCTCGCCAAAATAAGAGTTACTTGCTTTCAGTGCATCTGGCCGTTACCTGGACTTGAACCCAAGCCACACAGTGCCGTGCGTTCAATGGCTTCTACAAGGGCGTTGCGAGAGCCTTCTGAGCCATTGGGCCACCTCCAAAACATATATATTTATATTTGAAACCACTTTAAATAATTAATTTCTGTCCCCAGAGCCGCGGTTACGCAACTGCGCTGACGCACGAGAAGAGGGAGCGAAAAAGCCACTCCTCCAGGGAGCCAATCAGGTGCCTCGCAGGGGGTGATGGGACCGTCCCAGAGGGAGCCAATCAAAGGGCACCGTGGGCATACTCCAGGGGCACAAAGAGCAATCGCAGCCCACCCCCCCCCGCCACAAACTCTGCTCTCCCGCCCCCCTCTTACCCAGTTAACATTTACCAAAGGCAGCTACGACGACGTTTAATTGCAGCATTATTCGCAGCTCAAGTGAGGCGTTATAGGGAAAGATTAGGTGTGACGCTCTGTGTCAAAGCCTGGCCAGATTAGACTGCAGAGTTAATCCTTATCCACATCCATGTCACACACACACACACGCGCGCACTCGAACGCTTGCGTGCACATCGCACGCGAAGGAGACAAAGATCTCCCGTGTAGCCTTAACGGACTGTTAGAGCAAAGTGCTGTTGGCGAGCACCATTGAAGGCCAGCGCAGCATACATGGGGACGGGTGGTCAGCACCATGACTGGCCTCCGCAGCGGGTACTAATTTAAGGCCGAGTAAACCTAGGGGAGGTTCAGGGCACATACGCACGTGCACACAGACATAGACATGTATATACACAACAGCCGCAATTTGCCACCAAGTGACGTCTCCAACGCACTTGTGCCAGGCTAGGTGCACGATGAGGACACGTGAAGTGTCACTGACAGGCGGTCACGGGACAGACCCAGGTGTTATGGGTTGACTGCCTGAGATGATTGGCAGATCCAGCAGCTGTGCTCCTTAATGTGTGAATATATATACTGTATCTAACACACACACACACACTCGTCACCACACAGACGTTCACATCGCAGATACACGCAGACACACATGCATCGCGCATACAAACACAACACACACGGGTACATGTATCGCACACGCACCTGCTCTGGCCACAGCAGTTGTGCACCATGTGCAGAAAGAAGGCAGGCCACATGTCCTCAAAGGGCCCAATGTCAAAGTGGTACCTGTGTGAGCACACAGGGCCAAATGAGCACACAGTCAGCACAGCGACGCGACGCCGCGTCCACATTCGTCGCGCTCGCTCCTTCGGCGCGGACTGCGAGCTGCAACCGGCTTGCCAGTCGCCTTTTCAGGTTCGTGGCGAGACGCCCGGCTCTTTGATCGCGAGATCACCGTTCCCGGTGCACGCACCGAGTGCCAGCACCGGTCCCTCACCGGCCGCGGTCACCGACGCCGCTTTCCCAGAAGGTTCGGGTCCACCGCCGAGCGGTCGGTTGCACGCGAACTCAATAAAAACTAATAAAAACTAAACGATTTTTTTTATTTTACCAGGTAAGGCCCACTGAGCTGTGTAGCCCTTTTTTCAGAAGCGACCTGGCCACACAAATGGATAGCTCAACAAAAGTGGCCTATCACGTGGGCATTTACTGCAGCCAAATACTCTGAAGGCGTGTTCATAAATCTCGGAGGGGGAAAAACCCGGAGAAAAATCCACACGACCCCGGGGAGAACACGCAAACTCCAAATACACAGACAGGCGTCAAGAGTCGGGATTGAACCCGCAACCTCCTGTATACCAGGCGAGGCAGTTAACATCTCGCGAACGCGTGGAACGTCTTCGCAAACCGTTTCGGGCGGTCGGGAAACCGGTTGCCCCGCCGTTGGAGACCGACTCGTTCCTTCGAAGCGTCGATTACGCTCGCAGCGATTCGTGGCGCCGGGTAATTTGATCGCGCGTCACGTTGGCCAACTCCGATCCAGCGCTCGGGACTCCCGAACGCACCGTTTTAATTCGCCTGGGTCGCGACGACTCGGCTCGGATGCGGGGCAAAGCAGTTCCGCGCGATCATAGAGTCGTGCGGTTTCGAGAGCAATTTGGGTCACATCGCGGCTTCACGGGGGGGCGTGGGCAGGGGGGGGGGGTAAAACTCCATTTGCTCTATTGGCGCTATCAAAAACAAATCATTGTTATCGTCACAATCATCTTTCTCTCTTCCTATTCTCTCTCTCGAATGCTGCTCTTTCCGGCCCAAGACCACAACGAGGTTTTCCTCTGTCGATGCGTTCAAAGTCTGTGGTGGACGGGGGGGGGGGGGGGACGGCGGGGACGGTTCTGCTTTCTCTACGTTTTTTTAGTTTTGCTTTTTTTCGTGGGGGGAAAAAAAATGTACATGCAAATGAACGAAAAATATAAAAAAAAGCGAGGAGGGTTACTCACAGCTCTATCTCCTTGACGATGGGCGTGGGCAACGTGCACTGCATGAGGCTCTGCGACTCCTCCGCAGTGCACACGCTGTGGTACGACAGCTTCTCCAGCGTCACCCGGAAGATGCACTCCGAGTGCCGGATCCGGTGGTACATCTGTCGCGCGTTTATCGTTTCCGCACAGTCGCCGGGAAGGGTGAAATAAAATCAATGCATAGCTCCTGCCGAATGTGAATACCTGATTTGATCGCGGATACCGAAGCGTTACATTTCCCTGGTTAATAATAATAATGATGATGTTTACTGACAATCTGCTGCTGGATTAAGGCCTCCCAATGCCATGTCGGCCATAGAGGTTGTTTGGCCATACTTCACCACGCTGGTCAGTGCTGATTGGTGAAAAGGACCGGTTCAGATATCGCTCGCCACCAGATATCGCTCGCAATGTTTTCTTGTTCGTGATTTTGTTTTTTGTTTGTTGCAGTTGCACCCGATTCAAGAGCCCAATGGCTCACAGGGCTATACCAAATAAATTAAACTGAAAAAAACTGAAAAAACTAGTCAGGATCTGAACTCAGGTCCGCAGGCTTCAAAGTGCGGTGTGCTAAGACACCTTGCCAGTGCTCCAGATACTCGAGAGCCTGGCAAAAACGCATCCCGTTACGCCGCTGGCATTGTGAAAAAGGCCACGCAGTGTCCGTGTAGGTATCGTGCCTACGACATCAGGCAAGCCGGCAGCATTTGTTTGACACTTGCCGGTGAGCCTCACGAAGTCAAAGCTGACACGGAGTTTGCGTTTCTTTCCAAATTGTATTGGTCGGGGGAAAAAAAGTATCGACTCAGAAGTCTTGCCAGAACAAGAGGGTCTATCACCTCTGTTCATGGAGGGGACGTCTACGCTGATTTCGTGAACACGTTCCCCTAAACGGCTTCCACGGCGCTCCAAGTCCACTTGATTCGTGGACGCTAGGGGGAAGCAGTTCGCCGCACTGCCGGCACGAATCGCTCGACCGATATCTTACATTTTTGTCCCCGCGTTGGAATTTTACCGAGCCGAGTGAAATTTAACGCGAAAGTTATTTGCGTGCAGTCATGGGGGCTCGGGGATTACGACGCGCGGTTCGTTCGACGCGATGTCCGACGTCTTTATCCCGCATGCTGGGGGCTACTTCAGGAGCTGGAATGCATCCCAGTTATGGAACGCAATCAAGTTGCGGTTTTGAAACTCGATTCAGTTCTGATTTTGCAACTCAGTTCAGTTCCGATTTTGAAACTCACTAGAGTTATGAATTTGAAACTCAATTCAGTTCCAATATTGAAACTCAATTGAGTTCCGATTTCGGAAATCGATTCAGTTCCAATTTTGAAACTCAATACAGTTGTCAATTTGAAACTCAATTCATTTGTGAATTTGAAACTCAATTGAGTCGTGAATGTTAAACTTAATTCAGTTCTCATTCCGGAATCAATTCGGTTCCACTTTTACAACTCAATACAGTTGTGAATTTGAAACTCAATTCAGTTCCACTTTTGCAACTCAATACAGTTGTGAATTTGAAACTCAATTCAGTTCCACTTTTGAAACTCAATACAGTTGTGAATTTGAAACTCAATTCGGTTCCACTTTTGCAACTCAATACAGTTGTGAATTTGAAACTCAATTCGGTTTCACTTTTGAAACTCAATACAGTTGTGAATTTGAAACTCAATTCAGTTCCACTTTTGAAACTCAATACAGTTGTGAATTTGAAACTCAATTCAGTTCCACTTTTGAATCTCAATTCAGCTTCCTGCCCACTCCCCCGGCTGAGCTCCCAGCACGTGGACAACAAAACGTGGCGACAGCATCGCTGCCGAACAACGCGCGGGGCGCAGGCCGGACGATGCGCGGCGCACGTCGGAGGACGAGAGAGCCCGGGGCCCCCCCCCCCCACCCCCACCCCACCCCGGGCGAGGACTCACGTTGGCGCAGTGCAGCGCGAGGGCGCAGAAGACGGCGAACATCTTGAAGTTGTTCTCGTCCGTCTTGGTGAAGGCGCTGCCCGACAGCTTGTTGACCATCTGCACCACCCCGATGACGCTGCCGCGGCTCACGATGGGCATGCACAGGATGTTGCGCGTCGTGTAGCCCGTGTACAGGTCCACCTCGCTGTTGGGGGGGGGGCAGCCGGGGAAAGAGAGGGGGTGGGGGAGGAGAGATGCAAGGGGGAGAGGGGTGGGGGGGGTTATCGATTCTGAAACGGAAAGACGGAAGGACGTCGCTTTACACGTCTCCCGCCTCACTTTACGTAGTGGAAGATGCGTTGCAGAAAAAGGGGCACGCGAAGCCAAACCGCGCGAAACGGTTGCATGACAAGCAGCGTGCACAAAGACAAAGATTCCCCATATAGCCTGCACAGAATGTTGGGTCAAGTGCTGTTAGCGAGCACCTATGAAGGCCGGCACAGCACACGAGGGGGTGGGTGGCCAACAACACGCTCGGCCGCCTTTGTGTCCCTAGCGGCAACGTTTACACACCGCACTAGGTACCGATTTGAGGCCGAGTCGACCTAGGGGAGGCCCAGGACGGTTTCAGATAATCGCAACTGGGGTTGGCCGTGAGCGGGAATCGAACACGGGCCGCCGGGTTCGTAGTGCAAACGCAGGCCTCGCAAGAAGACATCCAAATCTGGCTCGCAGCCCAGCAGGGCCACGGAGGGGACGGGGCGGCTGACGTCGGGTTGGTCGCGGGTGGCGACAACGACGACGACGACTCCACCCCCTCCACCCCCCCCCCCACCGCCTTCCTCCGATCCACATCATTCTCTGAGACGATCGAAGGGCTGGCTGACCGTGTGACGACGTTCCGGCTCTCGCAGTCGCGAGGTTTGGCGCCCAGTTCAAATCCTCGGTCATCCAAAATAACGGATCCAAAACCTCAACAACCCAGTTCTAACAAAATAATATCAGGGATCCTGCCTCCTCGGTGTAACTGCCAGCAGACCGGACTACGGCGACTTTTGTATCTCGCCCACTAAACATCTCTGAACGTATTTAAAAAAAACAGATAAATTGCTGTTTGCATTCGGCGCTCATTAATGCTGTAAAAATCTTGACTTAAAGTTTTCGTGACTGCAGGAATTCATATTCTTTGGGTCTTTCGGTAAAGTCACGTAGATAGGTTCAAAGAAAATAACAAAAAATAACCCCCTCTTCCTGATGACCACCGCTTGTGTTGCGATCGAAACGTCGTAGTTTTTTGCTATTGTCATTTTCTTTGAACCTATCTACGTCACTTCACCGAAAGACCCAAAGAAAAATGCTGTAAAATTTACACAACTGGTTAATGCACAATGATGCCTTCACTTTAATTACCAAATAACCTCCGTGGTTAATCAGAGTGCCACAGGACTGCATTTTATGAAGCTATATATGTGTATTAATAGGGGAGGGGGGGGCGAGCTATGATTTTGGGGGGGCCCTCGAAATCCAACACCCTGGGCTGCAGACCCTAAAGCTTCTGCATTTAACCTGGCCCTGAGTGTACATTTAAGACGCTTCAATATCCTCATTTACAAACCATCGGCTAATGCCGGCCACATAACCCAATGCCAACGCTTGCTAAATTACCCGGAACTAAATTTGCCACGTTAATAGGTGACCAGGAGCAATTACAATCATCCGGATGTCTCCTGAAACAACTAGCCACTCTCTATGGGATTCTCACCTGGTTTAATAAACGATTTGTGAAAAAATGCAATTAAAATATTGCACCACGTTGGGAGCGGTGAAGAAATGGACACTCGAAATAGCATCGCCGTCACCGCCGCAGCCACCGAATGAAAGCATTATGAGGTCGCGCGCTTGTTGCAAGCAAAGTTGCTCGCCACGAAGGAACCATCGCACACAAACTCTGGTCGTCCTCGCAGCGACAGCGGGTGTTGGCTAACCATCGAACAAAGACGCTCCTTGGGATGCACTTCTACGGCCGTCTGGAACGCTCCTCCGATATTGGGAAGCCGCCTGCGCTATATAATTTTAAATTTAGATTGAAACCTTTTTTTAACTGATTTTTGTGTTTAGTTTATTGTCCTTCCCCCATACTTCCGTTCAGCATGGTTGGCTACGTAGTGCGACATAAGTTCAACATTCATACATCGTCACAAAGCAATGTCTTATAACTAAGCCATGTGTACATGGTCAGCCCTTTTGTTGATTCCGTCAGATTAATCTTTCCTTCCCCCAGCCAGGTGGCTAAGGCTGGAGTGTGTGGTATGGGTGTGGTGGGTTGGTGGTGTGGGTGATGTGGGTAGTCTGGGTGATGTTGGTGGTGTTGGTGGTGTGGGTAGTGTGGGTGATGTTGGTGGTGTGGGTAGTGTGGTTAGTCTGGGTGATGTTGGTGGTGTGGATGATGTTGGTGGTGTGGGTGGTGTGGGTGGTGTGGTTAGTCTGGGTGATGTTGGTGGTGTGGGTGATGTTGGTGGTGTGGGTGGTGTGGGTGGTGTGGGTGGTGTGGTTAGTCTGGGTGATGTTGATTGTGTGGGTGATGTTGGTGGTATGGGTGATGTTGATGGTATGGGTGATGTTGGTGGTGTGGGTGATGTTGGTGGTGTGGGTGATGTTGGTGGTGTGGGTGGTGTGAGTGGTGTGGTTAGTCTGGGTGATGTTGGTGGTGTTGGTGGTGTGGGTGGTGTGGGTGGTGTGGGTGGTGTGGGTGATGTTGGTGGTGTGGGTGGTGTGGGTGGTGTGGGTGGTGTGGGTGATGTTGGTGGTGTGGGTGGTGTGGGTGGTGTGGTTAGTCTGGGTGATGTTGGTGGTGTGGGTGGTGTGAGTGGTGTGGTTAGTCTGGGTGATGTTGGTGGTGTGGGTGGTGTGAGTGGTGTGGTTAGTCTGGGTGATGTTGGTGGTGTGGGTGGTGTGGGTGGGGTGGTTAGTCTGGGTGATGTTGGTGGTGTGGGTGGTGTGGGTGGGGTGGTTAGTCTGGGTGATGTTGGTGGTGTGGGTGATGTTGGTGGTGTGGGTGGTGTGAGTGGTGTGGTTAGTCTGGGTGATGTTGGTGGTGTGGGTGATGTTGGTGGTGTGGGTGGTGTTGGTGGTGTGGGTGGTGTGGGTGGTGTGGTTAGTCTGGGTGATGTTGGTGGTGTGGGTGGTGTGAGTGGTGTGGTTAGTCTGGGTGATGTTGGTGGTGTGGGTGGTGTGAGTGGTGTGGTTAGTCTGGGTGATGTTGGTGGTGTGGGTGGTGTGAATGTGCGGTGAGTGCGAGCCCCTTGCCGGTTGAAGCGCGGGTCTGCGTAGGCGTCGGGAATGTTCAGCACCATCCCCGTCTTGGCCACCTGCCCAGCGATGCCCTTCTCGATGGAAAACCTGCAAGGTGAGAAGACGAATGAGATGAAGGAGATGAAGGAGGAGGACCCAAACGGGCGAGCACAGTGGCAACCGCCGAGTTATTTTGCGCCGCGCGGAAGTCAACTTCCTACCTGGGTTGAGGCCAAATGAAAAATGACTGGTCATCGGAATTGTTTTTTTTTATGTACTTCTCATCAGAATTCGATTAGCGCCAAAAAGACAGTGGTCTCCGACTTCCTCTGTCATCGATGCTGCCTCACAACTGAGATTCTGGCTCACGGTAATTTCGAGCAATTGCCTAAAATTGTTCACCCAGAAAAGCCATCGCGATCATTATCAACAATTGCTAATTTTGACCGTTTCCCGAACATTTATCCACCCTCCCCCACCCTTTGTACACCCGTACATTTGTCGTCACAACAAGCGCTTCTACAGGTCCTGTGGTCCAATCCACTGCTGGATGCGGACCTGCCCACGCTCTGCGCATCGTGTGCGTTATGGCGGACTCGACGCCCAAAGTTTGCAGGGATTTTCACAACGTTTGTACAATCCACCCCCTCGCCTCCCAAACGCCGGATCACCTGATCTCCTTTGTTTTCCTGAACACAGGCTGGCCTTCCTTCTCCTCCCCGATGTCAAACAGGTCAGAGTAGAGCTCGTTGTTCTTGTGGTCGACTTGGAAGAGAGCGCAGCGGTCCGCGTTCACCAGATTCTTGGCGTAGATCTGCATCGACGCACGCACGCACGGCACAACACAAAGAAAATATCCCCCATGTAGCCTTTGACAGACTGTAAGGGCCAAGTGCCGTTCGCCAGCGCCTATGAAGGCCGGCACGGCGCACGAAGGGGTGGGTGACTAGCACCACGCCCGGCCGCCTTTGTCTCCCTCGCAGCGATGTCTACACACCACACCGGGTACTCATCTCAGGCTGAGTCGACCTAGGGGATACCCAGGACCGGTTCAGATAAAATCTGGTGTTAGCCGTGAGCGGGAATCAAACTTTAGGTGATATGTAAGAATCTTGAACTGCTAATCGGAGGTGCGAGGGAAAGTCAACAAACCAAACACAAAAAGCAGTTCTGAAGAAATACTTTTCGATCTACGATTTTAAAAGTGCATAGCTCCAGTGGCTTACTAATATTTCTGTCCTGGCCACTGGGCCACGCGCACACACGCATGCATGCGCACGCATACACTCACCATCGCGCACCGTCGCACAATTATTTATCGGCTCGCCCCCCACCTCCCATTCTTCAGCGGCAACGTCTACGGCGCAAGTCAACTGCGGGTCGGAAAGATTGACGGACTCACCATGATGTGCTCCAGAAGCGAATCGATGGCGACGATGTTGTCAAAGTACGTTCTGCGGGATTGAAGGCAAGGCGGACAACAGGGCGGGTTAGGGGTCCGTGCCTACGGACGCTTTGGCGGTCTACTCTCCGTGGACAACCAACAAGGGACACTCTTAAAGCTATGATCAATTCGCCCAGAACGCACCCGATCTCACCGGATCCAAGACGCTCAGCCGGTGTTTTCAGCCTGTATAGTGTGCAAGATGGGTGACCACCACAGACAAATGGCCGGAGTAGTAGCAGTAGGCGTTGTGGGCAATAGAGGGCAGTGCAGCACATGTTTATTCTGCATCCCAGCCCGCAATGACCAGCCTGGTGAAGTATGGTCAAATATTCCTGATGGCGAGGATTACCACCTGTCCAGGTTTTTTTCCAGGATTGCTTTCTTTTTGAAGGTCCTGGCAAAAATTGGTGTTTCTGGGTCATTAAAGGGCCCCGGGTTTTGTCAGTTGTTAATGACGATGACGATGCATCAGTCAAGGCAACGCGTTCACACGTAGTTCTCCCCTCTGCCGGTATCGCCAGAGATTCTACCTCACGTGTGTCCCACATTTTTGTGCTGTAGAAGCCCCTCATCCGCTAGTAGATTGTTGACGAGACGGGCTGCAACGACTTCCCGCAAGTGCGGTTCGTGTCCACTAGGGGCGTTGGGGCGCCGCCTCAACAGGCAGCTGGAGATTGAGAAATTATTTTTCTAATAAATAAATAAAAAAAATATTTTTCTATAAATAGTTTTGTCGTGTTTGAACAAAAAATTAAAATGTAATCATTCTTACCAACGTGAATTGCCTCGTGAAGTTAACATTTAAAGTTGTTCACATTAGACACCGCTGCAACGCCACAGTTTGATTTGTGCCTAGGGGAGGTCTCGGGGCGGCTGTGAAGGCGTCCTCCGAGTGAGAGATTTCCCCTTCGTTCGTTGCGATGAGCTTCTAGCGTTGTAGCCACGCCGTTTGAGACCCATTCAGGGCGGGGAAAAAGACGCCCGTGGCTGTAATGAGACGAGGTCACGATGCGAGGTTGCACCAGTGCTAATATAGCAGCTCACACGGCTTTTGGCAGCGTCAACGGGGTTGGGTCGTGTGGACTTGAGGGTCATGGGGACAGCATTTGAGTGCTTTGTTGATTTGTTTCGTACTGTTTATGAATGCCTACCGTTGGTAGATAAGACAGTTAGGTCACTTTCACGGGAAGGCCAATATAACACGACGAGGTTGTTCTTAATCCGAACACCATCCGTTTCAGAGGTCACTCGCGACAGTCCCGCCTGGTGGCGATGTCACGAACCCGCCACTGATTGCCCGCGCAGCTGCCCAGCGGTGGCGCGTTCACCGCTTGTTACGGGCGTTCTCAGTCGGAGCGCGGCCGTTCCGGCCAGCCTGATTGAGACCGCGGGTGCTCGAACCGTGGGAATACTTCGCCGCCCGCCTCCCAGCGGGCGTCAGAGATCACGTGACGTCATTCGAAACTATGAGGCCACCGTGTGCTGGCGCCATGGCCCAAATATGCCACGAGTTTGTAATTAATTTTAAAAAAATCCACGCCGCGATGTACTCGAATTGGGATTTACGCGGAGCGGCAAACGTCGCCACCTCCCGGGAAACTACCCCAGAGACGCGGCAATGCCCTCCCCTCGCGATACCCTTGCGCTTTAAGATTTGCGCGGACGCGAGATGCGGTGAATTATTCATTATCATCGTTTTCCCCCTATCTAATTTCCGTTGCGAGTTACGGTCCGGGCGCTACAGCTGCGACGCAGTGACGTGGTGTAGTTGTAGCCCACGGTGCCTGCCCCAGGGTCACGCACTTCTCGACAAGCCCGCAGCGCGGCGCCTGCTCACGTGCTCAGGACTCGTTAAGCAAACACAATATCCCGCGCTAAATAATAGATGCCCCGGGTGAATAAATCATCGCAGGTGGAGTGCGGCGGCGGCGGCGGGGGTGGGGGAATTTTCAAGGGGAGGTGTAGCAAAGGGTGTCACAGACAGAAGATGAAGCACGCACTTCACAGTAAGCAAGCGCTGCTCGCCAATGGGACAACATTCACACACGGCGTCACCTTTGCCAGGGGGCGGAGCGGTGGCGCGATGGTTCTACCGTGCGGCGCTATGAACCCGGCGACCAGAGTTCTGTTCACGGCCGCGGCCGATGCCAGCGGCAAGTGATATCTGAACAGGTCCGGCCCCCCCCCCCCCCCCACCTCTTGGGTTTTTCTCACCGGGCACTTTTTTTTGCTCCCAAATAAAATAGAATAAATATCCCGTGAGCAGCATCCTCGTAGGAACAAAGTCACACAAGACTCGGTGAGTCTCCACAAAGAATTAAAGTTGCCTGTTGGAATTGCTCGGCTAGGCGGTGCAATGGAACAGTCGTCATCGCGCTGCACTTCGAACCCGAGGATCTGAGTTTGATTCCTGTGAATGGCTAACATCAGTAGCGAGTGATGTCTAAACAGGTCCTGAGCCTCCCATCTTCACCAAACACGCACTGACCAGCGTTGACGAAGTACGGTTGAACAAATAAATAGATGAATATGAATGACATTGGTGGATTGAGAATGGCTGGATTTACTGTTTGTGCTTGTTCTCATCATCTTCATTCTCAACCTTCTGACGATTTAAAACACAAAGAGCCACAGGCGCGGGTAAAGCGGCCGCTTTAACGCCGCTCGCTGCTCCGCATCCCGATCTCTTGGACTCACTTGGAGACGTCAAGAAGGAAGTCGTTGAGCTCCGTCTGCTTGGCCAGCCCATGGCTCACCTGGGAGAGCAGGAGGGGGGGGGGAGGCACGTGACAGCACTCCGAGACTGCTCCTTGATATCCGCGAAGGGAAAGCGGCCTACGCGCCAATTCAATACCGTTTGTGCGTAAACTTTCGCCCATGCATTCAAGTGTAAAGTGAGACCTCCAACGATGATTCGGCCGGTCTCTCAGCGGTGAAGGAAGGGGTCAAACCCGACACCAATGAGGCGACAAGTTATTGTCGGTTTCTTTACTTTTATTTTGTCTTCGCTACCAACGGACCGATCCAAGGTCCGCGATAACCGTATCGTTCCATTCGCTAAATATTTGCCACATCTTCATTGTATTCAATTTCCAAACGAAATCATTACGATTCGCAATTACCCTTTAAATTAATGTTTTGCTCATTTATTTCCAGAGTAATTAACGGCATTGTAATTATGGTATGTCATTATTTTCACAGCTAATTAGATTATGTAATGAACTATTGTGGAACTGATAGCACGTGTCTTATCAGTGCTATAGATTGTGAATTTGAAATTAATCGAACACCTCCGGCAAGCTTGCGCTGAGTTAACTGCAGTTAACTTTTAGTTAAGTTTTCTTTATTTGAAATGGAAGCATGGCAAAGCACAAACACAACTGAATACAAATTGTAAATCCTATTACAAGGCCAAAAGGGAAATGATATTGCGATAATCGTTAAATCCTAAAAATTTATTTCACATTGCACTGTGAAAATTCAGGAGATGATGAACGAATTGAGATCTCTCGTAAGCACAGTGTTAGAGAACAGCCCACAGAAGCAGACACCACAGAGCTACCTCTGAGATCCCTTCAAGTGACTTCTGGTCCACACAGTTGGGAGCGGCACTTTCCCACCTGCCCTGCAACATAGAGTAGTGTGTGTCGCCTGACAATTACAATTAAATGTTTTAATTCTCAAACCTGGAGCTATGCCAAATTACGCGCGGTGCCCAATCCAGAGCCATCGTTGATTTTGTGCTATCATCGGTGACTGGGCTGAGACCATCAACTCACTCCACTTGAGGACCCTATATAGCCATAAGCCGGTTGCCTGGAATCGAACCCAACACCTCAGTGGTGCCACCCAGCCACCTCCCATGTATCCCTCCGTGTTAAGCGTCGATGAGGAAAGTGTTACGGTTCTTTTTTCTCTCGATTATTGTTTGTGCACCACCGCCAATGCAGTCCTTCCGTTCGTTCAATAAAGCAATGGTGGGTTTAGCGCTCACCTTGACAACCGTGAGGCGGTGCACCCAAAATCGTGGGCCTCAAGTGCCTCGACGGTGCCCATTCAACCGCGGTGCGCTCACCGAATTAAAAGGGCCCTAATCGGCACGAACCGTTTACCCCACAGCTTTGGCCACGAAGCCCACGAGCCACACTCGTGATTTAGCGGAAGAGCAATTCTGCGTTTCACAGACAGGGGTCAGGCCCGGGGTTGTTTCTTAAAGGCAAGTCGTGCGACTGTGACGTTTCTCAGTTTTGTGTTCTTTTTTATTCACGACCGAGAGCCAACGGGTGGGCTCAGCTTCAAATTGAAAACTCACGAATGAGTGGGCATTGAGACCAACTCAAACCGCCGCATGGATGAAAAAGAACAGCGCTTAATATCTCACCGAGTATATGGTGCGTCGCCGGTAGACTGGTAATATTGCGGCACGTTGTGGTAGGTAAGCAGGATGTGATATGCCGGGTGTGTAAATATGTTTTAATGAAGAGGATATAATGGGTGAGTTGAGTAGGAGGCAATTGGGGAGTTGGCGGTGATGGGTTGGTTCAGAGTGGGGAGTTAGCTTAGGGCCGTGAGTGAGCGTCCAGTGGCGAGCGATGTGCTCGCGAGTTGTTCTTTACCTGCACTTGGTGAATAGCCACAGACGCCCACGCCAGCAAGGCGGTGGCCACCTGTGGACCAACAGCCGCACATACAATGCACACACACACACGACAAACATGTAGACCCACACAAACATTACAATGCAAACATAAGAACCCAAAAGACAAAGTCCCCCTGTTAGAGCAAGTGCTGTTCGCGAGTAGCAGCATCTATGAAGGCCGGCACATGCACACGAAGGGGTTGGGTGGCCAGCACCACGCCCGGCCGCCTTCGTCTCCCCAGTTGCAATGTTTACACATTGCACCAGGCACTCATTTGAGGCTGAGTCGACCTAGAGGAGGCCTATGACCGGTTCAGATAATCGTCACTGGTGTTGGCCATGAGCGGGATTCATACTCAGGCCGGCGGATTCATAGCGCAGCGCGCTAACCGCTACACTACCGCTCCCCATACACAGGCACGCACTCAGACGCACACACGCATGTGAGTCCCCCCCCCCCACCGCGCTCACCTCCTGGTGCCGGATGGTGAAGGGCTCCTTGCCCCAGCGCCGCTGCAGCTCGAGGACTCCGAGCAGATCCCCGTTGGCGGTGATGAGCGGCAGGCAGAGCACGGAACGCACCTGGGCGCCCGGGTCCAGCCCCACGCCCTGGGGGAACCGCTCATCCTGCCACGGAGAAACACAAAAACAAAGATAAAGGATCCCCACCCTCATCTATAGCCACAACAGACTGTTGGAGCAAGTTCAGTTTAGCGCTCTCCCCACCGCCCTCTCCCCACCGCCCTCTCCCCACCGCCCTCTCCCCACCGCCCTCTCCCCACCGCCCTCTCCCCACCGCCCTCTCCCCACCGCTCTCTCCTCACCGCCCTCTCCCCACCCTCCTCTCCCCACTGCCCTCTCCCCACCGCCCTCTCCCCACCGCCCTCTCCCCACCGCCCTCTCCCCACCGCCCTCTCCCCACCGCCCTCTCCCCACCGCCCTCTCCCCACCGCCCTCTCCCCACCGCCCTCTCCCCACCGCGCTCACCCCTAGGATGTCTTCCACCAGCACCGTCTGTCGCACCTTGGCGACATAGGCCGACACGGTGGCGCCAAAACCCACGGGCCCAGCCGGGATCAGCCTCTGCTGACCCTCCTTGGCTCCAGTCGGCGTGAAGAGGCACAAGCTCTGCGCAAAGGTCAAAGTGAGACACAATAGAGTTGACCCCCATGGAATTCTCACAGCTGGGGTCAGAACACTCCACTGCATATTATTTCAAGTATCAAGTTCATTTGTGAAACCAGGTGACAACAAGGGACCGGGATAGTGCCCCTCTTGTAAGAGTTACCCGGGTCACCGAAGCTACAATTTAGGCAAAGCAAGTAAAGTAAAACAGAAAAGGATGGCATTGAAGCGAATGGAAATCAGCGCCAAGAACAACTGCGTCACACGATAAGCCGAAAATATCACGCAAACATGAAACAGCGGTAAATAATAAATCCCTGCAGAGCAAGTCGGCCAATCGCAGATCATATTTAGAATGATCAAGACATGATTGCTCACGGGAAAATTGCGATTAAGTTACAGAAATATTGAACAAAAATAATGTGGCAATTTGAACACAACTCCCACACCTGTGGGTGGACTGGATGTTTGGCCACCAACCCACTTCCCTTCCAAGCATAATTCTGACCTCCCGAAACTTTTGTTTATGCAGCTGATGATTCCAGTGACATCACCAATTCCCTCCAATAATATCCTCCCATCCAGCGACACACACGGGAACAGAAGTGCAACTTTATTCCCCCAACTATTTTCGTTACTAGTCGTGTAATCTAGCCGATAATCGGTAAAGTAACGGGTTATTTAAATAATTGCGTGGCTCGGCCGTACTATAAACTCAACGTGTTCGTCAATAACACTGTGGCCTTAAAAGGAAAAATTAATCATACGCGACGTTTCGGGCAATGGCCCTTCTCCATAACACATGGCTTGTACTATAAATAACGTTTTTCAAAATCATAGAATTCGAAGAACAAAACGCCTTTAGCGCTGGCTCATGTTACGCAGAGAAGTCAACAGCCAAAGTTAGATACGCGCTGTATTTAGCATTCTTAGAATTCAGCGGTAATGCCCGGCCCCTGCGAAATTACACGCCGAGGCATCATTAACAATAATTACGGCAGCGGTGGGAGAAATGTTCTGAGTGGACTTGTCCCTGCCTTCCACGTTTCATGCTGGAAATACCGCTGAGCCTCACAGCACAGCACACATGCTTCACGAGCAGCACTCCCCGCTCCGTCATCAAGTGGCGAGGCCATATATGGAACCGAAGCAAGCGGAGCGACTAAAGCGAGAGGGACGCAACGGTGAAGTCACATCTGAGATGCATTGGCAGCTACAAAAAACATCGTCATGGACAGCCCCCTACATCCCAGCGGTGGAAAGAAAACGTACAGCGGTGAAGAGAGGCCCGTATCAGGCGTGGGGTGACAGACTACGGCCGGGTTTCACAGTAGCACAAAATGGTCCGTACGTGCCCGCCCGTTGCGCTACTGCGTTTTGATTTAAGTGCTTTGAAGATTTTGAGGACACGAGCGCAGGGGGCAATCATGCCGTGCGTGCCCATGAAACCAAAGCAAATAAAGACGCGGAGTTACAGTTCAGCGCGTGGGAGCAGATTTAGGATGCGCGTTTGCAAATTCCTCGGCCCAGTTTCCCAGCCTTCGCGCACGCGCGAGTTTTTGCAGATTGTTGACATTTTTTTTATATATGTATTCAATGTTTTCACTCGTCCTGAACCGCATCGCAGCGTACATCTGCGTACCATTCCACTAGCGATGCTCGATGTTTGTTTACGCGATTCAATTACGGACGGCTGCGCCCTCCACCCCCACTGCCGTGTAAACCGAAGCGCTGCCTTTTAGCCGGCTACCGTTTCCGAGCGCTGTGGAACGGCGAGTTTGTTTGTGCCGCTCGTTGTTGCAGAGGTTCGCGTTTCGAGCCACGGCTTACTTACAGACGGGGGGCAAGAACTTTAAAGTCGCGTCATGGTGGACGTTAAAGGGCTAGGAGATGTTAACTACCTCGCCTGGTATGCAGGAGGTTAGTGGGTTGGATCCCGACTCTGACGCCTGCTGTACATTTGGAGTTTGCGGCGTTTCTCTCCCCGTGGGTCGCCTTGAATTTTTCTCCGGGTCCTCCGGTTAGTCCCCTCCATATTGAGAATCAACACGCGTTCAGAGTATTTGGCTGCTATGAATTTCCACATTGATGATGAGCCACTTCGTTGAGCTCTCATTTGTGGCCCAGGTCGCTTCTGAAAGAGAGCTGCATAGCTCAGTGAGGCCTTAGCTCCGTTCAATAAAAAAGAGTTTCGAGTTTTTATCAATTTGAAAAATTACACCGCAAAGTCCTCAACTGGGATCACACGTAGCAACACATCGCGTCCTGCTGTGAAACGACTGCAGTCTCGTCTATTATCGTCAATTATCGAATTGGGAAGAAAACGCAACTTGGCAACATGGGCCCCCCCCCCCTATACTGGCAGGCTCTACGTGCCTGTGAGACACAGAGACATCACCGTAGCCTTGCGTTATAAGAATGGTACCGGTGCAGAAAGTACTCATTTACTTTTGATTTAAAGCTTTCGTAACTGCAGGGATTCATATTCTTGGTTCTTTCGGTAAAGTCACGTAGAAGGGAAACAACAGAATAATAAAAAGATATTGCTTTATTTTTTTATTATTTTATAATATAAATATATTCTTATTTTTTTATTATTCTATTGTTTCCCTTCTACGTGACTTTACCGAAAGAACCAAGAACACTCATTTACTATCACCGTCGTCGTTGTTGACGTTATTATTAGCTGAGAGCCTGCTGAGACAGCAGAGCGGTGGTATGTCAGGGGAGACCTGGATGACGGTGGTCACCGTGCAATTGACACTCACGTTGTTGCATTCGCCCAGGAAGTAGAGGGAAAATCCATCGGCGTTCGTTGCTGAAATTTGAGAGCGACAAAAACAGGCGATTAGCAACTCGCGTTCGGCCTGCTCCCCCTGAAGTGTGCCACCCGCACAGTCCACAACGGGCGGTGACGTTAACCCACCGCGCGCGCACCAGGGTCGCCGTGATAAGAAATCCTTCGACGATACGATGATACGAGATGACTTTTTGCACTTTGACGATTTGTTGCTGCCGTTATAATATCCACACAACCCTGTAATTGTTTTCTAATTGGCTTGAGTTCTTCGCCTGCCATAAGCCTTCTTCGTGTTTTGCGCCCTCGCAGCAAACGTGGAACGTTGGTCTCAACATCAGCACGTAGTTGGAACCGTGGCTGGAACCGGCGCGTAACGGAGAATATAATTTAAAAAAATAACTACATTAACGACAAATATCACGATTTCATATGACCACCATTCCGACAAATTAAGGCGGAAAAATATATGTAGCCAAGCGCTCATTTATTTGGTAACGCACATTTGTTGGAAACTGTAATTAGTATGCTCTTGCTATTTCACTATTATTTCTGTCAGAAAATAAAATGTTTTTGCAATAAAGCACATGCGCAACGATAAAACCACTATATAGCAATGTTTAGCAAAACGAACAGTAACAATCATCGTGGACATTATATTGGACGATATATCATATCGTCACCACACTGCGCCAACTCGAATATTAAAAAACAAAGACTTAGACACGCACGCAAGCATGTGAACACGTATAAGTGCGTGCACACAAGTACACAAATACACGCGCGCCAATTTACCCTCTCTGGACGGTTATCCGTCCAGACGCACTACAGGCCTAACGCCTGCTTAGATCCTGAGATCTAACGAGGGCACATTTTGGGTGATTTGGTCACAAGCTTCACACTTGCATGTTGTGTAAAGGTACAGCCCTGCAATTGCTCGCTCACACCACTGCTGACAAAAGGGCCTCCCCACTCGAGGGAACTACTTTAGAGAAAAGGTATTTTGGCCTACTCTTCCACGACTGGCACCCACACTTTATCCCATCACTCACACGTGACCTGTCGATCTACTAACAATTTATAATGCTGCTGGGTGGACAGATGCTGGTGGAGATGAGAAACTTGCCCCATGGTTTCAACTGCCGGTCTGAAGAGATTGCATTTAACCGGCGAGTCCGATGTGGGACCCATCATACTTGGTTCAAATTGGCTGTGTTAGAAAAGGATTAGAATTGCTTTTTTGTTTAGTTTGTTGTCCTTCCCCCGCACCTCCGATTAGCACCGTTGCCCATGTACGGTGGTGTGAAAGGAGTTCAACATACGCACGTACATTATTTGCCTGGGCTTCCAACAATGGCTCTGTGAGATAATTGGCACCTGCGAGGAAAGGTCCGGTACAAAGTCCTCACTTACGGCCAATGTTGTGTTCGCCGCGTCTGATCTGAGACGCGGGGATTTTTACTCTGAAGAAAGACAAACACGCAACGATGGATGGCTTTTTTTTTCTCACTTGCAAGGAAAATCTCACCGATTGTTTTGTGTAAGCTAGCCGGGGCAGTGAGTGGTTAAAGTAGCTGAGGAAATGAGTCGTTGTAAATTAGCTGGGACAGTGAGTCGTTCTAAACTAGCCAGGCCAGTGAGTCATTGTAAACTAGCCAGGCCAGTGAGTCATTGTAAACTAGCCAGGCCAGTGAGTCATTGTAAACTAGCCAGGCCAGTGAGTCATTGTAAACTAGCCAGGCCAGTGAGTCATTGTAAACTAGCCAGGCCAGTGAGTCATTGTAAACTAGCCAGGCCAGTGAGTCGTTGTAAACTAGTCAGGCCAGTGAGTTGTTGTAAACTAGCCAGGCCATGAGTCATTGTAAACTAGCCAGGCCAGTGAGTCATTGTAAACTAGCCAGGCCAGTGAGTCATTGTAAACTAGCCAGGCCATGAGTCGTTGTAAACTAGCCAGGCCAGTGAGTCGTTGTAAACTAGCCAGGCCAGTGAGTCGTTGTAAACTAGCCACGCCATGAGTCATTGTAAACTAGCCAGGCCATGAGTCATTGTAAACTAGCCAGGCCATGAGTCATTGTAAACTAGCCAGGCCAGTGAGTCATTGTAAACTAGCCAGGCCAGTGAGTCATTGTAAACTAGCCAGGCCATGAGTCGTTGTAAACTAGCCAGGCCATGAGTCATTGTAAACTAGCCAGGCCATGAGTCATTGTAAACTAGCCAGGCCAGTGAGTAATTGTAAACTAGCCAGGCCAGTGAGTCATTGTAAACTAGCCAGGCCATGAGTCGTTGTAAACTAGCCAGGCCATGAGTCAATGTAAACTAGCCAGGCCAGTGAGTCAATGTAAACCAGCCAGGCCAGTGAGTCATTGTAAACTAGCCAGGCCAGTGAGTCGTTGTAAACTAGCCAGGCCATGAGTCATTGTAAACTAGCCAGGCCAGTGAGTCATTGTAAACTAGCCAGGCCATGAGTCATTGTAAACTAGCCAGGCCAGTGAGTCATTGTAAACTAGCCAGGCCAGTGAGTCATTGTAAACTAGCCAGGCCAGTGAGTCATTGTAAACTAGCCAGGCCATGAGTCATTATAAACTAGCCAGGCCAGTGAGTCGTTGTAATCTAGCCAGGTCATGAGTCATTGTAAACTAGCCAGGCCATGAGTCGTTGTAAACTAGCCAGGCCAGTGAGTCATTGTATACTAGCCAGGCCATGAGTCATTGTAAACTAGCCAGGCCAGTGAGTCATTGTAAACTAGCCAGGCCATGAGTCATTGTAAACTAGCCAGGCCATGAGTCATTGTAAACTAGCCAGACCATGAGTCATTGTGAACTAGCCAGGCCATGAGTCATTGTAAACTAGCCAGGCCATGATTCATTGTAAACTAGCCAGGCCAGTGAGACCTTGAGCCGCGTCAGGTAGGAGCCAAAAACGGTATGTGGTAAATTTCACCATGAAGGAAGCCATGACTGGCCGGTGTGTTGGCACAAGACAAATGGTGAATGTAAATTTTTTTAAGCGTACTGATCTTTGCACCTCTTCGTGCATAAAATAAAATGTGGAAATTTGGAGAAAAACCATGATTTCCAGGCCTGGTTCCCAGTGCCTCACACATGTTTCTCCAGTTAGAGAATCACTGCCTGTAAATTTGTGGTTTTGTGGAGCGAGACAAAGAGTTCTTACGGATGGGGCATTAAGGCCTTGGGATATTGACAATGATGATGTTGATGATGATAGACCAAGTGCATTGCGCTTAAAGCAGGGGACCGCATGTACAGAAATAACACTGCTTCATTCAGGTCAGTAACTGCTGTCTAGACAAAGTCGCAGACCCTTATCAGCTTTCTATAACAGCCAGATGGCTCAGCGGTAGAGAAAGCGGCTCACGTGCGGTATGCTGCAAGTTGAAATCCTGGGTGGGCATTAACGCAGTCCGTCATCCCTCCGGGATAGATAAAGTGACTACCACTTCATGGATAAATCAACAGTGGCCTTCCTATGGAGTGACTCGCCCCCTCACCATAGTTTGTTGCCCTTCTCCCGCACCCTCGATGAGCACGGTTGGCTACGTACGGTGGTGGGAAAGAGGTTCAACATGCACACACACGCAGCAATGTGGGAATGTCCACCACGGGCTCAGGGCTGTAAAAGGGAGACGAAGCGCTGTCGCCGCCTGGTACAGAGGTTCACGGTCCCAATCCAGCGGCCGCCCTCATTGTTACCGCGGTGCGGTTGAAAGATCCCCCGGCGTTGCTCGCAAGAGCAGGCCACTGTGTGACGGGCACCAGGGTCCACATTTTCCAACAATCGAAAAGTCACACCGCACATTACTCAATTGGAATCACGCACGGCGAGCATCGCCTCTGGCTGACACAACAATGCCCGCTTGGCACCCTTGTAAACTGATACTATCCTGGTCTCTTGTTGAGTTCCCACTAAAAGAAACTTGATTTCAGCAATATATATTTTTTTTACTTTGACACCAGAGGACACGGAGTCGCCCATGTTTGCCACGAGTTCAGGCCATCACACAGGACACGACGGCCTGCCTGGCTCGCCCGGCCCGGCAGTTGCATACCATTGTGGATGATGTAGCAAAGTTCGTGCAGCAGAAGTTTGCTGTCGCCGCCCATGTCCAGCCTCTGCTCGATGTGGCTGTTGAGCTCGTACACAACCGCCTGAACGTTCGTATCCTGGTACTGCTGGGAGAGGGGGGGGGGCAGAGGAACGAGCGTCAACTGGTGAAATGCCGCGTCGCTTGCTCAAAAATTACGCCGTTCCCTCTATTTGTGAGCCGCTATTCCCTTGTGACGGGGTGTTCACGCGCTTGCGCTGTACGGCCGGCTGTCTCCGTCCGACGTGCTTTTCGGAGCGTGCCGCGTGTCGTTTGGCCCGACGTCCGACGTTTTTGCTCCATCCGCTGGGAGCTTCTTCGGCTCCCAAAGAAGCTCCCAGCGTGTGGAGCGAAACGTCGGACATCATGCTGAACAATACGCAGTAAAAACCCGAAAACCAATTGGGGAGTTTACATTTTGGTCTGCGTCAGAGAGGGAGTAGAGGGCCTTCGTCCTCGATTCAAAAGACTTAAAAGAGTCGTTACAATGCTATCTATGCTATTTATCAAAATAAACTGTTACAGCTATAAGGTCACGCTCGGGCCAACTCCGTTCGGGTCACGTGGGGTAGAACTCCAGTTAACACTAGGGAGACAAACATTATGGTTTTTAGGAACTGCAAAACACTGATGAAAATCCCGTGTTGCGTAACTTCTAAACTTAGGCTTGCTAGGCAAGCCCTGATCTTTCAATCTACGAAGCGGTCATTAACCAAATTAAATCATTTTGATAATCATTGCTCGAAAATTACACAGCTCCATAACTCCCCTTTCCTGATGCTGACCGCGTGAGGAAAGCGGCACGGCATTGTCGCTTTGATCTCCCTGACATAAAATGTAAAAAAACAATTTCCAAATTGCCCCAGCCCTGAGTGATCATCTTTACCACCAACAGAGCGGCTCAATTAGCGGCCTACTGCCATGATAATATGTTAGTTCGGAGGTAATTAGCTAACACGATTGGATGCGCAACGAGGTGTGTGTGTGGTGTGTTTGGTGTGTGTGGTGCGTGTGTGGTGTGCATGTGTGGTGCGTGTGTGGTGCGTGCGTGCGTGCGTGTGGTATCTGTGTGGTGCGTGTGTTTGTTGCGTGTGTGGTGTGTGTGTGTGGTGTGTGTGTGCGCGTGTGTGGTGCGCGTGTGCGCGTGTGTGGTGCGCGTGTGTGCGCGTGTGTGCACATGAGGAGAGTGGGGAGGGGAAGAGAGAGGTAGCAGAGACACAACCCGATGACAAAACACGAGATGGTATGATGAGCCGGAGTGGGGAAAGGTGACAGAGGACGAGAGAGAAGCAGAGTCAAATACAGCAGCAGCAGCATCTTCTTCCTCGCATGGCTGATGATGAAGTGCAACAACCAGTTTGTTGCCCTTCCCCCCGCCCCCGCACCTCCGATTAGCATGGTTGGCTACGTATGGTGCGAAAGAAGTTCAACACACGTACATACAACTATACTTTTACACTGAGGTGGTAGAGCCAGACGATTGCGTCAGGAGGCGCGGAGTAGCGCATCGCTGCAATATGCCTCATCCTCCTCCTTCGCGTTCGTGCAATCGGGCATCATGTCTACGCTATATGTTCCACGGCCTGTTCTGGGTGACCACAGGAATAATGTCGGGGGCAAGCGCAAGTGTCAATTAAGGTTCGTTATCCACCGCTTAGGTTGTCGCGGTTGTGCGGCGATGCCCTCCGATGTTTCTCTCCACATGCTGGGGAGCTTCAGAAACTGAATTCAGGAACTTCCTGGGGGAATTGAATTCCGTTCCTGAGGAAGCCTCCCCAGCACATGGAGAGAAACGTCCATGATGAATCAGCCTCCTTCGCTGTTGTGAACCGGCCCTTGAGTCGAAACTTTGTGTTTTTTAACGTCATATTTTGGAATGGAAAGTTTTAAGCACGCGAATAGATGAATCGAAACGAAGATTTTCATCTCTAGTGACTGTAACATCGGTGTTCTACACAAATGTGCAAAACTTTCAAAACGTCGTTGCATTATTACTTTTACTGACGCGATCCCAGCTGGTGCCTGGTGGGCTTATAGTTTATTTCAGCTGCAGACCCAACACAAAGAATTGGGTGAAAGTCAAGGAGATTTTGGTGAAAGTAGAGATGATTAAATGAAGAATTATAAAACGATTAGTCCATATATTAACAAATAAATATTTATTTATTTCTCCATCAAAAAAAATATATGTTCATAGGCCCACAAGCCTTCCACCGGCTGACTTGAGTACGCAGGCAAAACTCTTTGAGGAGTTTAAACTTTTCTGCATCTCATCGGCAGTAAGCCCAAGTGAATTAACGGCGGCTGGGTTGCCAGCTGCTCTATACGGAGGATGCAATCTGACCAAACCACCCCAATATCCATAATAAAGGGGTTCTTTTGGGTTAGATCGCGTAAATATATAAATGTGTCATTGAACCCGCCACCACCCGACACAGCCAACTAGTAAGGGTTGTCACGTAAACAAAACATGCCAATTCGTCACTAGCACAGCACAAAGTTGTGTTGGAGAGCCAAGCCACAACATTTACAATCTGAGTACGACGTTTCGCCAATAATTACAACCAGCTTCATCAGGCGACAGCCACATTTGTGTTCACCCGGTCTCGAAATACGGCCAAATGTGCACGCCGTGATGCAGGCGCGCAAACGGCATGGCGCTCTCTTTTGCGAATAATTCCAAAGAGGGGGAGGGATCTTTAACGTCCGCCGTGAAGCAGACGGCACCACGTACGGTTCTCACGCCGGGGCGGTAATAACCAGGGCGGGCCGCCGGAACTTGAACCGCGAACCTCTGCAGCAAGCGGACGGCCGAACGCAGCGCCTGCCGCTAGGGGCCCGCCTTGTCGCTCAGTGCGCACCGGAGCAGAGGATCATTGTCGCGAACCGAATCGACGCGGCAGATGCACGCCGCTGTTCGACGCAGAGAGATGCATTTTCGATGCCATAATAATGAGTTGCTTTGCAAAAAGCCACGTAATGAACGATGCCTCAAAGTGCACGAGCTTGTTTGCTTTAGGGGAAAATTAATAGGCTCTTATCTGCATCCTTTTTAGACCGAGGGCTTAACATTATCTTTCTCTCTTCCGTCCGCGCGGGGAATGACCTATTGCCCACCAGTGATTTGGACTGTGTGCGTGTGCGTGTGTGTATATCCGAGCATATACACACACACTCACTCACCCATATACATACCGTAAAAGGTGGCATTTGAATACATCTACTGAAGGTTATGTAAACACCGCGTATTTTTATAAGCTTCAGCAGAACACTGCCCGTGGCTCAAGAATGAATAAACTACATACGCGGGAGGGCAGATGCCAAAAACCACTGGGAACGAGATACTAAAAAAGGTATGATTGTTTTAGGACGAATTAACTTCACGGGACACAATCGGGCCAAGTCCCAATTCCGACTGCCACTGGCGACCCTTCCCCAAAGCCAGGTATAGAACTTTCGCCGCTTCTGTAAGGGTGGGTTTCTGGTATGTATGTATGCTGAACTTCTTTCACACCGTACGTAGCCAACCGTGCTAATCGTAGAAACGACATTGGCCATGATCCAGCTGCGATCCAATTTCACTTCCAAGTCGCTGGGTTTACAAACTTGCAGTGCCACCACCACCACACCTAGCATCACACTTTTTTTTTTAATTATTTTTTTTTGGCCTCAACACTTTTCAATTCTCTTCTTCTCCAAACATTTTTTTCGCCACTGCCCCACACACGCGGCATAAGATGCGCACGATATTTACGAGTCTACATTCACCGATGCGGTCGATGCAGCTGAAAATGAGCGCGCTGCGTGGATGACATAACGCCGGGCAGCGTGAACCTTTGAAAGCTAAACTCCGCGCTGTAAAGGTATCCCATCTGTGACGCACGTGCCCTTCAAGAGATCCGCGATCAGCTGTCCGCACGCCGGCTGTGATACAGCTGCAGCTGCTGCGGCTAATGTGCCAGCTGCCAATGCATTACGTGGAGAACACTGGATGCAGACAGTGAAGTACTTTGACTTCGTGTTGTCAGTTGTCCCATTGCCTCTCTTTTTCTGCCTCTGTTGTTTTGCAACCACCGCCTTTGCGACGCTCCTCCCACGTGTTTTCAGGTTGTACCGCGCGTCATTCGGCACGACGTCCGGCGTTCCGCTCCACGGGCCGGGAGAGATTTTTTTTCAGGAACTGCGCTTTTCAGAGCTGAACTCTTCAGTCGCCAAAGGGGCTCGCCGGCGCACGGGACGAAACGTCGGACACCGTGCCGCGCGCACGGTACAAAACCAAAAACAGGAACGCAACGCAACAACAGCGCAACCACAAAAACCTACGCGGCAGGGTTGTGCTAAATGACGTATGATTAAGTGTCAATTAGACCGAGGTGAACGTGTTGCCCACGGGGTTCATCATAACTGTGTGTGTCAAGAGACATTGAGCCAGAGCCATTGGCCTCCAAGGTTCGAATCCAGGCAACCCACCCATATGATTAAAACCAGATTTGTAAAAGTGCGGTGAGTTTCATGGTCTCAAGTCGGTCACAAGTAATGATTGGCCTGAGGAACCCCCGCCCCCCCCCCCCCCAGCTCCCCCCCACCCCCGCGTCCCCATAACGTACAAATTAGGTTTTGCACTTAATTTAGCAGATACCAGGAATGAGAGCGAACTCAAATTAATTGAGAGAGGCGCGTGGAGTGAAGCGCTCGGTAAACCGTGCTGACAAACAGCACGCCTCCCCGACACGGTACGCTCGGGGACATCACGCAAGAGGGGCCTTTTTGTCGTCACCTTGAAATCCTCCCCCAGTGTGATGTGTGGCGAGCGTTGCCACCCGTTGAGGTACAACGACAAAAAAATAACGGGACTTATCGTGGCAAGAACAAATATCTTTACAATGCCTGAAGAGGGCGAGGAACTACATATGCGATGCATCGTCTCGAGTGGCGTTTCATCACGTCGCTGACAAACACCGGGAGCTTCTAATGTTCTCGGGAAGACTTACGGATTTCCCAGGGTCAGTTGCCACCTCGACCAGGACTCAACGTCCCGATAATCCCGTGGCTAATGTTTCTGCTGGGAATACCGGACGGCATTTTGCGGCGCTTCTTCGCTCTTTGTGTGAACTCCCGTGGCATAAATCGGAATACGTAAGAAGAAGAAGAGCACAGGAAGAAGAGGCAAAGCAGGGGCGACATGGGGGGGGGGGGGCAGACGTTCACTTCCAAGTTGCACGTTCATCTCGTTTAACCAGGTGAGGAACTCGAGAGTGCAAAAGTCTGACAACTGGGGGTGACGGTGGCTGTGCATAGTCCCGGTTGAGACCATTTGTCGGCAACTTTCGAATTTGAGCAGAATTTGGACGGCGATACACGCCAGCGCACAATGTCCCACGAACGTCCGCGGATTATCACCACACCCGCAGCATTGACCCGGGGGCGGCCGCTCGATTCGAACCGAACGAGCCCCTGCAACGGCGGCGGCGAACGCTGGGCCCACGTCACCGCTCCCCCAGGGGACAGAGAATGAAGAGGACGGCAGAAACAAAGGGGCGAGTGAACAGCATGAGGGGACAGAGAACGATGGAGCGGGGGGGGGGGGGCAAAGAGAGAGAGAGAGAGAGAATCGTGTACGTGGGTGATATCACGTAAAGCACCTTCGAGGCCGCATGCTGACGTGGTAATGAGTTAGGGGGCGACGTACTCACCCGTGTGACCTCACGAACGCTCGCATTGTCTGTTCACACCCACGGCGTGTATGTGTGCGTGCGTGCGTGCGCGTGTCCATGTGATTGCGTGCGAGTGCGTGGCGGCGTGTGCGTTGTTTGCGTGTTGCGTGCAAGTGTAAGCGCGGTGAAACAGAACGACAACAAAAAGACAACAAGACACACGGTTACTTGCAGATATTGACAGGTGCCCAGAGCGTACACACGCACAACGTACGCACGATGCATACATACACACACACACACACGCGCATTTGCGTAGACACCCGTGCGCACACGCATCCCTGGACACAGGCACTGCACATTAAGGCAAAGATTCCCACATATATCTTTAACATAGTTCTGGGGCAAGTGCCGTTTGCGAGTAGCACCTATCAAGGCCGGCACGGCACACGAGGGGGTGGGTGGCCAGCCCCACGCCCCGACCGCCTTTTGTCTCCCCAGCGGCGATGTTTACACACCGCACCAGGTACTCAATTGAGGCTGGGTCGACCTAGGGGAGGCCCAGGACCGGTTCAGATAATCGATGTTGTCCGTGAGCGGGAATCGAACTAGGGTGCCTGGGTTCGTAGCGCAGCGTAGCGCTAACCGCTGTACTACGGCTCCCCACACACGCACGGACACACACACACACATGCAGGGACCATAGACACACAGCAACTTGCATTAAGATTCCCATTTTAGCATAAGAGACTGTTTGTTGGGGCACGTGCTGTTAGCGAGCACCCATTAAGTCTGACAAGAGTACACGTGGGGGGCAGTTGTAGGCATCGTCACGTCCAGCCACCTTTCTCTCCCCGGCGCGGATCTTGTGTACACACCGCGCCGCGCATTGCTGAGGCACCACGGCAGGTTCGAGAACACTTTGCTGTTGACGCTGCCCATGGCAGGGACGTGAACCCCAGGTCACCAAGATGGTCGCGGCAATATGCTAACCACTGCAGGACGTCTCATCTCACAAACATTGCACAGATCCCCCCCACACAGCACTTGCCCCCAGAGGCTGCTCGGGGCAAGTGCTGTTAGCGAGCACCTATGAAGGCCGGCACGGCACACGAGGGGGTGGTTGGACAGCAACCACGCCCGGCCGCCTTTGTCTCCCCCAGCGGCGATGTTTACACACCGCACCAGGTACTCATTTGAGGCTGAGTCGAACTAGGGGAGGCCCAGGACCCGGTTCAGATAATCGTCACTGGGTGTTGGCCGTGAACGGGAATCGAACCCGGGTCGCCGGGTTCATAGCGCAGCGTAGCGCTAACCGCTACACTACCGCTCCCCACTACTCGCATACACACACACTCGCATACACACACACTCGCATACACACACACTCGCATACACACACACTCGCATACACACACACTCTCGCACGCATAAAAAGACACAGATCCCCCCGTTATAGCCTTTAACAGACTGTATGTATGTAGAACTTCTTCCGCACCATACGTAGCCAACCGTGCTAATCGGAGGTGCAGACTGTTGGGGCAAGTGCTGTTCGCAAGCACACAAGGACACCTTTGTCCCCCGAGTGCCGATGTTCTCATTTAAGGCCGAGTCGACCTAGGGGATGCCTAGGTCCGTTTCAAATATTTCGCGGGGGATTGAACTCGATGGCATCGGGCAAATAACCGTTGCGCCACCACTCCTCGCTCGCGCACACACACAACACCCAAACGTGTACGAAGCCGCAAACGCCCACGTCAATTCACCAGCACGTGCACGGCAACAGCAACAGCAACCGCCGTCCTCCGCGAAGCGATGGGGCGGTCAAACCAAAGCTTTCCGCGTGCCAGGCTACGTGCACATTAAGGCCGTCACGTGATGCGTTCGCGCACGCGCGCGGACAGGTTTCCTTCCCGGCGATCGCGCGCGACACGCGAGAGCGGCGCCACTGTACATCGGCGTGGCCTCCACGGCGTGACGCCCGCAAGCGGCCGGTGCGTCGGGCGATTAGAAATCCCACTTCGGGGACCCTGGGAAGGGATGCGCCGTGGCCATGGCCACGCAGTTTACCCCATGGGTTTAGGTTCAATCCCTGACCTGAGGTTATTGGTTCATTTCCCATTTCTACGGTGGGCTCAAGCACGACGTCCTCCCATGGCGTTTCGTGGCGTACTCTCTCGTTAATCACGACGCTTGCTGTCCGCGAACCGCGTCTGGAACTCGACGCGACCGCATCGACGGAGAGGGAGCATGAGTGAGAGAGAGAGAGAGAAAGTGATGAGAGATGAAGTGATGAGAGCGACTGCGATGCGAGAAAGTGATGAGACAGTCGACCGTGCAAAATCGGAGAATGTGGAGGAAGGGACAACTCCTTGAGACATTAGTGCAAGGCATCTTACAGATAAATGTAAATTATTATTATAAACAAACTAAAGCAGTTCTAAAGTAATGGGTTTCCAATCTAGATTATTTAAAGGTGCATAGCTCCAGTGGCTTCACAATCCGGGAAGGAAGAGCGTTCCAGACGGCCGCAGAAGCGCATCTGAAAGCGCGCAGATGCGGCGGCCGTCCGCATCGCTCGACCCTCCGCTGGCACAGCGCGAAAAGCGTCTTGCTCAGCTCACGAGGTCACGAGGTCACAAGGTCGGGTGAAGGATGAAGACGCAGGGACATCGCCATGGCAATGCCACCCCTCTCTCCAGACACCACACCTGAGGCAGGGTTACCCCCACACACACCACCCACCACAACCCCACCAGGCTACAAACACATTCATTAGAAGCCCCCGTACGCCGTTCATTTATTTACTTGCTTAATCCCTTGCTCCCCCGCCACACGCCCGTGCCCAGGCATGTACACAGGGTCATGATGCGGTACAGGATCCCGCGCGATTCACTTTCGCGAGAGGTGGCACACCTCGAGATTAAAGGGGGTGCAGCCGAGAGCAGGGACTGGTTTTCGACCGTGCAACGTGCCCTGCCCCCGTCTATCAGGAGGAATACAGCGATAACGATCAGCATCGTCGTCATCGTCAACAGGCGGCTTGTGGGAATCGTGGCGAGATCGTACAAAACGGTCGAGCTGCGAGGAGCAGAGCAAGAGCGACCATCTTTCGATCGACGAGGTTGGCCTCAACACTCACGCAGCTGCCGTGAGTGTTGTGGGGCGTTCAGACACCCCCCCCCCCCCCCCCGTGACGTTTAGATTCGCTGAAAAGACACCCACAACATTTTGGACAACCTTGACTTAAAGCTTTCGTGACTGCAGGAAATCATGTTCTTTGGGTCTTTCGGTAAAGTCACGGAGATAGGTTGAAAGAAAATAACAAAGACTACGACGTTTCGATCGCAACACAAGCGTTCGTCATCAGGACCGCTTGTGTTTGACAACAAGAAAAAATTGAGTCCACAATTTTTCTGACATTTCCACCAAGGCGGCATAAATACTGACTGTACCGATGACACGGAACCATTAAAATACAGTGCGCAGTAGCGCATGAGCGGTCGTATACGCACTGATTCAATCCTAGCCAGTTGTTGCGTAGATTGATTATAAACACAGTGGAGTAGAACTCCGCTTATCTGTCACGAAGTGGCTGGGCGGGGGGTGGTGGCAAAGTAGCGGATCCTCTCTGTCATCACACCAATAACCACTGAGAACCGCCCGCAATCAAGGACACCGCCAACCTCCACAGTTGCCTCTGTGGCCCCGATCTTTCCGACCGTCTCGTCAGGGTATGAAAACGACCGAGTTCAAAGTCAACAGGTCAACGTGGCCAATGGCAATGGTGCCACCGGTCATTGACCTTACCCATCGTCATTGACCTTACCCATCGTCATTGACCTTACCCATCGTCATTGACCTTACCCATCGTCATTGACCTTACCCATCGCTTCCTCCCTCCTGCTGGACGCTACCAGCATGTTGGGCACAAAACTCTCAAAGCCGTCAACGTCGCGGCCGTCCGGCTCGGGTCGTCCCCCTTGGTCGCCCGCCTTTGAGTGCAACTCCAATGAAGCTCTCGGTGGCATGGCCCTCCTCCATCATCACAACCTCCTCGTCTTCCTCGTTACATCTACAACGCCCCCCCCCCTGCATCCCCGCCCCCAGGTAACATCCTATTATGAAGCTCCAAGTTGTTTATCCGATCCTCCTCCACCCGGCACTTCACAACCTCCTCCTCTTCCCGATTACATCGACACCGAGTCTACATGCCATCCTATTCCCATCCTCCTGGTTGCTCAACTGAGGCATACAATCCCTGTCGACCTCCCACTCGGACATACGGTCCTGTCAAAAGGCCAAACACTTCTGGACTAATTGCTGTTGAGTGAGATAAAAGGGTGGCCGATATGAATACACAATCACTATAAGTAGATTTGTTATTCACAGCAAACGTATGGCTTTGGCTGACACTCGCTAAAAATTACATCTCGTCAACTCTTCAACCGGAACATCCACTATCCACACAGAGACAAATATCCCCTGTATAGCCTTAACAGACGGTTGGGGCAAGTGCTGTTAGCGAGCACCTATTAAGTCTAAGTACAGGTGGGAAGTGTCGAACGCCCGCTGGCAGGTCACGGGGCAGACCAAGGTGCCATGACCGAGATGACTGGCAGATGCACCACCTGTGCCCCCTACTGTGCCAACTTGCTGTGCTTTAAGTGTAGACATCATAACCCATTACACATACACACACCTGTGCCGTCCGTGTATCTCCTTCTCTGAGCGATCTGCTCATCTCTCCGTACGTAGTCAACCGTGCTAATTGCCTACCCATATGCACAGCTTTTTTTGTCCCTGCAGGCAACTATCTGTCCACCCAACAATTAAAAAATATATATTTGAAAGTTATTTGACACATCCCACGCTCAACCGGTTGATATTAAGGCAGCGGGCGACATGCTTAGGAAGATGTTATTTTTATTAATTAAAAAAGTAGCTATTTTTTAAATGCGGTCGTAAGCGTCCGTCAAAATTGTGCAAATACCTCTTTCATTTCCCTCCCCCCCCCCCCCCATTGTTCCGTAGATCACAATTAAGCTCCGCCATCCCATCCACCCCG